TCAAAATGCTAAACAGGGCTGGTACCAAATTCTACCCCACTTGAATTTAAAAAGATTATTTTAATAGGAAAAAAAACATGCAGAAAGCTGGTGCCAGCCTCTAGCATAGTATCTCTCAACTTTAGCAACTTTAAGATGTGTGGATTCAGCTCTCAGAATTGCTGGCCAAGCAACCCATGTGGTCCCCAAATGACAGAAAGTTTGCCCACTCCTGGATTAAACTACTTGAAAAGTAACTTTTCTATATACATGCCACACTGGGTATTAAGGCCTTTAGGTGTCCTTCCAACAGGGAATTTTTTAAGTAGCTTTTCAGATTTTGCAACACCTTCCTAAGGGACATCAGACTAAGTCCCACTCTATTCTCCCTCCCTACTCATGCAAAAAGAAATTTATTTGGATTTGTGTTTTTTATAGCTTTTTTGTTTGATTGATTAATATATTTTCATGGAGCTAGTTTGGGGTAACATTTAAGGCACAGACTGGAAAGTAGAAGACTAGGAGTTCTAGTCCTGCCTTAGGCACAAATCAAGTTGGATGACCTTGTGGCAGTCTCCCTCTCAGTCCAAGGAAACAAGGACAAATCATGTCTGATATCTTGCCATAAAATTGCCAGGGACGCTTCTTGGTAAAGTCATGGATCATCTATGCCAGTGGTTCTCAATGTTTGTGTGACGGCAACCCCCATCACACAAACGTGCCGCGCATGCGCGGTGCCGCCCCCTGAGGGGGGAAAATGGCGGATCGCCTTCTTTGGCGACCCCGTAAAATGGTCGATCGACCCCAAATGGGGTCGCAACCCATACGTTGAGAACCGCTGATCTATGCTATATCTTACTGCTAAATTGTAAAGGTCATACCATCTTTTGTAAGCATTATCTGTGTGCCTTCTAAATGAAGATCCAGTACAAAACATTCAGCCAAAATAAAATGATGATTAGGTTAGATTTTTCTACCCAATCTTGTGGGAACAATCAAACAAGCATTCCTATCTGAAAAGCTGATTCATTTACGTTTTCCTACCTACATACTTTGCTGCATCTGACTAATACTTTTTGTGTTTGATTTTTGGCAGATTGAAAAGGATCACAAACAGATAGCTGCAAGATGGCAGAAACATACTCTTTGTCTTTCCATACTATTGGACAACATAAATATGCTGCAACAGAACTGGAAACTGGATACTCTTTGCAAAAAACAATTGTGGTAATTTCAATTCCAATCTGCATTTTAGGATTACTTGGGAATGCAATTATCTTCTGCCTTCTCTGCTGCTCAATCAAGAAAACTAACTTTACTGTGTATTTCCTAAATTTGGTAGTGGCTGATTTTGTTGTACTCATCTACTATGTTATTGTTTTTGCTTTATTTTTGAAAGCTGTTCCTATCAGTCTATATTCGTTAAATATAATGGAGCTGGCACATGCATTTGGATTCAACGCCAAGACCTATGTGCTAACAGCTATCACTGCTGAAAGATACGTCATGGTTTTTTCTCCAGCCTGGTATCAACTTCACCGGCCCAAGCATTTCTCAGAAATCATGTGTACCATTTTGTGGGGCTTATCTGGCATGCTAGCCATCATATTATATTATTCTTGTTACTTGGAGACTGATACATTACTTATGGAAACTAATCAACATTGTGAGCCTACAAAAATGGCCAGAGTAATAATCAACCTCCTTGTTTTTCTTCCCATCATGGTCTTTTCTACATATCTTATTTTCACAAGAATGCTGAGTGTATCCCAGGAAACTCCTCTGAGAAGACTTGATATCACTATAGTGGCCACAGTTCTTCTGTTTCTTATCTTTGCTGCTTCAGTGAGGATTATTGAAATCATAGCCCGTTGGGTTCCAAAAATCCATATTCCAATTCTCTTTCTCATTCTTCATTTTCTTGATGCCATTGACAGCAGTGGGAACCCCTACGTCTACCTGATAGTTGGCTATTCAAAGACAAAGACTGATTGTGAAAAACCTTTGCAAACATTACTTGAGAGAGCTTTGTTGGATGATGGAACAACAGAAATGTAGGGAGGAACTTATTCAAGAAGATTGTACCAAAGGGATGCTATCAAAAATTATGCCTTGAGTTCCAGAATAAATGGATTACATTTATTGCATGAAGTTTGGCTTTGCTCATTACTCCTAATGTGCTATGCTTACCCTCTTCTACAAACAACACATCTCAAATCTTTAGCCATTATGTGCAATCAAGGTATTGCCCTTTGGATACTTTACTTAGGGCTGTGCCTCAAGGCGGCATTAAAAAAAAAATCTGATCTTTGAGCCTCCTTGATGACCAGTCCCCATTCTGCCTTAGTAATGAGGCCAGCAAATGGTACTGTCCTTGCAGATAGAATGCAGATATTAAGGAAAGCAATTGGTAGATTCCCTGGTTTTATTTCTCCTCTCACCAAATATCACCAAGAAAAACTTCAACCAATGACTCTCCTCAAAGTGGGCTGAGGCAAGAGTTGATTCATAGTTAAACTTGTGGACAATTTGGATATGTGATAGATTTCAACAGATTTGCATCAATACATGCATATGTTTTTGGATTTGAATTGGATTTAACAACTTAATATGGTTTAAATTCCATACTACAGAGGATTTTAACTCTGGCACTGAAAAGAGGAGTAAGACTAGTAAAACAATTATTTGACCCCAGGATTGTTGAAAGCATGATAAAAAGACCAAGAAAAAACACACCTTGTGCTTGTTGACCTTAAAAAGGGGAATTTTAAAATTAACATGCTCTAGTCTATGCCATAGCATAGCATTCCTGGAATCCCTGCGTCTCTTTCTTGACTGATCTACTTTGAAGAGCTGATTGAACTGGTTGTTCAAAGCGCTGTTCAAAGAGAAGAGTGTAAGAGAAGAGGAGGCAGAGTCTGGGAGCAGAGTCAAGAGAGGAATCAGCTGGAGTCGTTATGTTCCAACAAGTATTCCAAGTCCACCTCACCCCCACCCTTGAATTCTCTTAGCTCTTATCTAGTGCCAATTTAGTGCTGATTTTATTTGCCCAGATTATTGTGTATATGCATGAGCAGTAAATCTAACTTAACTGGAGTTTAATGTGTGGTCCTGATTTTTTACACCTGGCAGATTAGGAGTAACTTGCAGATTTTGCTCTTGCAGATCCAGCGTATTTCTTGGAAATACTGTAAGCACCTTTTTGCTATAGATAAGAACAGTGTATTTTTTCACTGGTAAAAATGATCAGCTTGTAACTATACATTGTCCAGTTAGATACTTCTTTTGTGTATATATATATATATATATATATATTAAAAAAGAATACCACAGCAACTAGCATTAACTTTAGTGAAGCTCAAATTGTCCATAACCGACTAGGAAAGAAAAAGCTGGTCTGCCTGTCTGTTGTTGGTCTTTTCTTCACCAGCCAATCTATTGTCATTTAAGCACTCCTGGAATGTAGCATTCTGGCGTTTCCCCTACTTTCCTATCCTGCCTATTCTATTTCACTTTTTTTTCCCATATTTATCAAGTGCCTTTTCTCTTTTGGACAGAAGCTGGGGGTCTCCCACTGTTGTGGTCAAGCCTTTTTACAATTAAAGATAGTCCTCCACTTACAACCACAACTGAGTCCCAAATTTATGTTGCTAAGCGAGATATTTGTTAAGTGAGTTTTGCCCCATTTGACCACTTTTCTTGCCAAAGTTGTTAAATGAATCACTGCAGTTGTTAAGTTAATAACCCGATTGTTAAGTGAATCTGGCTTACCCACTGACTTTGTCAGAAGGTCACAAAAGTTGTTCAGTGACCCCAGAACACTGTGATGGTCATAAATATGAACCCGTTTGCCAAGCATCCAAGTTTTGGTCACATGACCATGAGGATGCTACAATGGTTGTAAGTGTGAAAAATGGTCATAAGTCACTTTTTTCAGTGATGTAACTTTGAACTGTTGCAAGCTGAGGATTACCTGTGAATATCAAGATTCTTTAGAGCAAGTCTCAGCCAGTATTCATGAAATAGGAACTGAAAAACAGAGCTAAGTATCCTCTGGATTATTTATTGTCTTCTTTTTGTAGAATTCCTCAAGAACCTTTAAATTATGTGCAATCTGTGTAATAGGATAAAATCACAAAGGGAATAAGAAAACAAGAAAAGAGTCATTACCAGTTTCTTTATTTTGTTATCTGAAAATTATAATTGCTATCCTACAAAATGTCTAAATGTTGCAACAAGGAAGAATAATTGGTTCTGGAAAAAATTATGGAAAATAGCAATTGGTAACAACTAAGCTAGTATGTGCTTGATCCAGGGTGTTCAAATTTTGCATGCACATGCATGCAGTACACCCGCAAGCTATGTGTCAAGTGCTCTGGAATTCATCCTTGTTCGTGAAGCTGGGCCACAAAATGGACCAAGATTTGAGAGATTTAGTTCAAGTCCACCCTACATGGAAACTCACTAGTGAGTTTGGTATCTGTCAGGCAATTTTCTCTATAGGGTTGTTATGGAGATTAACTGGAGGCAAGAATATTACCTAGACTAGAGATTGAACTCCTGGAGGAAAGGTAGGATATTAATGTAATAATACATTTTTAGACTAAATAATGTAACTGTATAGAATCACGCAAGGAAGTTCAAACAAGGAATTCCTATCCCATCTTCCTTATAAGTTCTGAAACCATGACAAAGTTCAACTTCAGTTTTATTGTGGTCTATAATCAGTCAGAGCAACACGCACAAATATTGATACACTATATAGAGACACTTCTATTTTGCAATCTCATTTTCAGAAAAAAAAACCCACAGATTAATGGAATAACGGGGGGGGGGGGAACTGTTCAGAATATTAAAATCTTACCTTTTAGGTCCAGCTCATCTGCCAACTGCTGAAATCTATTGACCTCCAAGCCCCCAGACAATAGATTAATGATAACTTTGAAAATGCCATTACAGCGGAAGTAAGAACCACTGTGAGGTCATAAGGTTCTCACATACCTTGGCTGTGCTGGAACATATCACCAAAGTTGTTCACACTTTGTCAGTATCAAGCTTCTGAGAAGAAAACAAGCAAGGTAGAAACAAAGGTGAAAAGAAAAAAACGGAGAGGAATCATAGAGGTAACTCAAACAATGACTTCTCTGTTCAACAGGCATCCTGGGAAGTGGCCAAGTTCATCCTTCTGGAGAATTAGATATTTTATTTATTTATTAAATTTTTATACTGCCTGCCTCACTAACCAAAGTGACTCTAACCCAGAGGTACCCAACCCCTGATCTGCAGATTGGTACTGGTCTGCAACCCATTGGGAACTGTTTTGTGCACATGGTAGGCAAGCACGTAACGCTCCATTTCTGCATGCATGGGAATAGGTTGCATGTGCGAAACCATCCCCTCCCCTCCGCCGCCACAGTCGCTACTGGTCTGTGTTGCTGGAAAGGCTGAGGAGCGCTATTCAAAGCAGCTTACACTGGCATAAAAGTATAAATATGAAAGCATTAAAACTGACAACAGTTAAACAGAGGTTAAAGACCAACAGCATGAATGGTACAGGGCAGACTTTTTGACTCTCACCCAACCAACAACTTCCAGTATAGTGCACCCCCATTGGGGCCTCAAGCCAATCTGCAGAGCCATATTTAAGGCCCTTCCAGAAGGCCAAAAGTGTGAAGGTGCATCTCACCTCCAGTGGCAAGATGTTCCAGAGGTCATGGGCCATGGCAGACGAGGCTTTTTTCCTTGACTCTGCTAGCCAAAATTCCTAGCCAATGGGACTCCATAGAAGGGCTCTTCTAATGGAGTGAGTAGGGCAAACCAATCCCAATGGGGTGAGACAACTCCTCAAATAACCTGACCAGGTGCCATGAAGGGCTTTAAACATGATAACCAACACCTTGAATTGGACCTGGAAGTAAATTGGCAACTAATGCAGCTCACATAATAGCGAGTGTTATATGTGCCACTCTAACAACTTCCAGAACTTTCTGTGCCGCTGCATTCTATACAGTTGGAGCTTCTGAATACTCTTCCAAGGTAGCCCCATATAGAGCACGTTGCAGTAATATGTTATTTTTTATATTTTATCTTATTTTTCTTCTGAGAACACCAAACTATAATATGCATACATGTCTGTGTCTTCTGACATCTTTCCAAAAGCAAGTCTGGTTTGCAGTGCCAGAGTTGGGAGTCCCCATGATGCAGGAAAAAAATGGGTAACTTTACAGAAGAGATAGCATATCCTCTCTCCTCCAGAAACTCTTGTGCCAGGAAAATTTCCAGAATCATTCTGCCTTTTTCTGGCTTCAGAATTTGAGGCCACTGTTTCCTCTTCTCTGACTTGGATCCTTGTTCCTATCAGGGTCTTGTAATTCCTTCCAGCTTAAAACATGATACAGTCTTATTGAATTCTGGCTCTATTCTTCTTGAACAGGGGTCGCTGTGACTTAAATGTAAACACTCCCCTATAGATGTTAGTTTCCTGAGTACAGTTGATTTTTCAGCCTAAATGCTTGCCCTGAGTAATGCGGTGTCCCAAAGGGCTGTTTTTTGTGCAAGATTCCCTTTAATTGAACATTAATTGGGTCTCACATCTTGAAATGTTAGTTGGGAATAACAGAAATTAATGAGGTAATATTTTAAAGATGTTAGCATCTCCTGTCTTTAAAAAGAAATTAATAATTGATAGGAAATGGTCCGTGGAGATTCATTTATCATTAAATCTGTTCAGAATGGGCTGGTGACCAAAATGCATAAAAATGTATGTTTGTAGCATTCTGCACACTGTTGGGAGCAGGTTTTGGTAAAATAGGCTTGACAAAGGACAACACCAGTGTAGCATTTCCAGTGAAATCATTATGCTATTAATAATGTTATACTAGATAAGCCAAAGGACATTTCCAGAAGACAGAAGAGCACCCTAGGGCAGTGGTTCTCAACCTTCCTAATGCCGTGACCCTTTAATACAGTTCCTCATGTTGTGGTGACCCCCAACCCCCATCCAGCTGGCTGGGGAGGGGGGGGAAGGCCACTCCTCTGGCTCCGCCCAGCCTGGTTGGAGAAGCGCCATTCCTCTCCCTCTTTCTCTCTTTCTTTCCTCTCTCTCTCTTTCCTCCCTTTCTTTCCTCTTTCTTTCCTCTCTTCTCTTTCCTCTTTCTCTTTCTCTCTTTCCTCCCTTTCTCTCTCTTTCCTTTCTTTTCCTGTTTCTCTCTCCTCTCTCTCATTCTTTCCTTTCCCTCTTTCCTCGTTTTCTTTCCTCTCCCCATTTCTCTTTCCTCTTTCTTTCTCTTTCTTTCTGTTTCCTCCCTTTCTCTCTTTCCTCTCTCTTTTCCTCTGTTTCTCTCTCTTTCCTCTCTTTCTCTCTCTCTCTTACGGCAACATCATCGGGGTCCCCGCCGCCCCCAGCCCAGCCGCTGCTCCCACCGGGACTCCATGCTGCCCGGCCTCGTCCTCCGTCCATCGATGGAGCCGCGGTGGGGGCTGGAGCTGCGTGGCCCGCCAGCCCCTCCGCCAGCCTGGCTGTTCCCCCCCCAGGCACCTCTCTTCCTCCCGGCACCTCCCGAGCCGCCTTGGGGGCAGCAGGAGGAAGAAGGAGAGGAGAAGGGCAAGAAAACCGCTACCGCCGCCCGAGCCGGGACTCTGCGCTGCCCAGCCTCGCCCTCTGCTTATCTGATGGACCCACAGTGGGGGCTGGTGCTGCGTGATCCCCGCCAGCCCCTCTGCCAGTCTGGCTGCTCCCCCCAGCACCCTTTTTGCCCCGGCACCCGCCCGAGCCGCCTTGGGAGCAGCAGGAGGAAGAAGGGAAGGAGGAAAAGGAAGGAAGAAAGGAAGCCGCCACCAGCGCTGGGCCCCAGGAGGCAGCTCTTCTCTCCTACCTTTGTTGAATCTCCTTCTTCCTTCCCGGCAGCCTGAACTCCGGTGTGTCTTCTTGGCCAGCGGGTCCAATGGTTGGGCTGGCTGGAGATCGCAGGGGCTTGGGCCGTGGCTTGTGGGAGGGCTGGCCCGCTCAGGGGCCTCCAGCACGCCGCTCCCAACAGGGATCCCGGGGCTTCCCCAGGCGGCTCCAAGGCCACAAGGCCCTGACCGTGCTTCTCCCAGGGGTGGGGCACCCGGGCACAGGGCCAATCAGGAGCCCTGCAGGAGGCAAATCCGCCTGAGAGAGAGAGAGAAGGGAAGTGAAAGTGCCTCTCTGTCTCTCTCTCTCTGAAAATGGCGGAGGAGGCCATGCGGAGACGGATGCGGAGCGGTGTCTCGGTTCCTAAGGCCTTCGGAAATATTTGTTTTCCGATGGTTTTAGGCGACCCCTGTGAAAGGGTCATTCGACCCCCAAAAGGGTTGCGACCCACAGGTTGAGAACCGCTGCCCTAGGGCCTATTAAAATCTTAACATAAACCTATTTTCTGACTCCCCAAAAACAGACTATGTCAGCATGCATTCCAGTTAGCACTTATCTTACAATAAATCTGTGTGAAAGAAACACAATGATAGTATTATTGCCAGACAAGGGATACTTTTGAATGTTTCTTACTTCTGTAAAATATGTCAGTGGCTTAATAATGAGAATTGTGTTTAATTTTGACAGATTGAGAAGAATTATTGAACACTGGCCATGTCAACATGACAGAAGCAACTACCGTGCCTTCCCACACTATTACAATGAAAGAAAATCACACACAGCTAGATAATTGGCCACAGATAGGCAGCAAAGGATTTTTCCTGGAAATGGTGGCAGCTTTATCCATTCCAATCTGTTTCTGGGGATTAATTGGGAATGCAGCTGTCTTTTGGCTTCTCTGCAGCAAGGCGAAGAAGACAACATTCATAGTTTATGTTCTCAATTTGTTAATAGCTGATTTTATTGTGGCTGCTTACTTCTTTATGGTGTTTATTGTATTTCTGACATCACTTTATATCAGTTATAATTTTTCACGTGCAATGGAGAATATTTATTCATTGTCAAGCAATGCCAGCATTTGTTTACTAACAGTTATGTGTGTTGAAAGGTATTTTATGGTCTCTTTCCCACTCTATTATCAACATCACCGTCCAAAGCATTTCATAACAAATATATGCTGCATAATATGGGTCTGGTCTTTCCTAGTGGCCCTGTTATTATATGTCATCTGCTACCCAAAATTGCTTTCATCCCTCTATTCAGGCAATTCTTTATGTGATGGGGTATTACTATTTGAATCTATTGCTCAGATTATGTTTTTTTTCCCCATCATGTCCTTTTCTGCTTTGTCTCTTTTTATCAGAATGCGGAAAAGAGCAAAGCCAAGGACCGAACCGAGGATTGATATCACCCTCATAATCCTGGTTGCTCTTTCTTTTATTTGTATTGTTACATTTCAAACTCTTGGTATTGTAAGCAGCTGGGTTACCACTCTTCGTGAACCAACTCTATTTCACCTCTCGCTGCTGTTTGACTCCATCAAGACCAGCATCAATCCTTTGGTCTATTTCTTTGTTGGAAATCGGCAAAGACAGAAGACTGCAGAACCTATGTATAAGTTGCTTGAGAGAGCTTTGAACGACAAAGAAAGCACAGATGCTCTAGACACCAGTTAGCTATAGTTGTTCACAAATGAATTTGGACATCAGAAATGAAAAAGATATAAAGACATCTTATGAAACATTTTCTTTCCCATAAAGGCACATTACTGATATATTTACTGTTTGCTACTTCTAATTTAATTTACTACCTAATGCCTTTAGGGGAATCAAGCTTACGTTTTAAAAAATGGGATTTTAAGATTTTATAATTGTAAGGGCCTTAAAAAAGCATGATCAAAAAGTATGATCTCATAAAAATGAAAACTACATAGCAACCATACAAGACGGACTGTTTATATTGTTTTGATAAAAATAAAACTAGCACTATTTACCTGAACCATTTCATCATGTGTGGCCTTTATATTCTCCTATGAATAGAAATGGCTCTACAAATAGATGTGTGTTTTCTGTATTCTATAGTACAAGAAAAAGAATGACAAAAGAGAACACATAGAAGAAGCCGCCTCCATCACATCTTTCTGAAAACGTAGAAACTCTAAGAATGCTATGTGCACGGTAATGCCAGAGAATAGAATAGAATAGAATAGAATAGAATAGAATAATCCTTATTCAATAAATCCAATTTTTTCATTGATTCACTTAAGAAAAGACATTTATTGAGTACACTAAAACCCACTTGAATCTGAAACACTCTTAAAGACTCTTTGTTCTGCCTGTTACACTGTCGATAAGGCATTAACCAATACACAATCTGATAAAAAGTCATTGCTCCTCAAGAATAGATTCAGATAAAACAGCATATACTATTGTGATGATGTCTTATGAATATTATGGATATTGAATTCCTTGGACAATTTCATGACACTGGGACCGCCACATCAAAAAGACTTGCATTTTATCTTAGATGGATGGACTTGCACTTATCTTAGATAACATTTAAGGCTCAATTAAACATTAGAATGAGTTGGGGGAAATTATGGTACAACTATGACTAGCAGGGAGTAAGATAACTGAAATTTTGAAAGATAAAATCAATGATCTTTATACAGGATTGTTGTAAACCAAATAGAGGTTTGTCAAGGTGATACCATAGAATCTCCTTTCTATAAGATATATGACCTAAAAGTTTGATTCTAAAATGTTGTAAATTGAGCTATTTTCAGCCTTCCCAGGCAAACAAGACAGGAAATGACTAGATCAGCTAAATCTGCTTTAAGGCTACATTAACAGAATCTTGCAAATCTGAAGGTACAAAATTACCCCTGCCACTTTTAACCACCTGGTCAATTAGGGCGGGTCTTTCCTGCTTCTTCCTCTGACCATTAATCCATTGTCTGATCATTTCCTATGCAGCATCTCTTTCCCTCATCTCCAGTGATATCTACACATACTATTACATCTATCAGTGTCAGGTGGGAACATCCAGGTCTGCACATGAAGAATTCAATTAGCTGACATTACTCATGCCTAAATGCAGGAATCTCCTCCAACTGATTGTTTGCACCTGGGTAAGACTAGATAAGATTCAGTGGCATTCAAGGTGGGGTTGGACTTCACCCTATTGTGCCTGTACAAGGATTCTAGACCAGGGTCCCCAACCCCCAGGCCGTGGTGCACTACTAGGCCTTGAGAAGTTCGGAACTGGGCCGTGGAAGTGGCAGGTGAGTGTGTGCATCCCTTGTGCGAGTAGCAGGTGATTGCATGTATACACTGCCTTTACATGAGCGACAAGCACACATGTATACCGGTCTGCAAAGCCGAAAAGGTTGGGAAACTCTGTTCTAGACTATAATTCTCTGCTCCCCTGGGTCTACCAGTCTCTCTCCAACAACCAGTGCTCTTCCACCTGATATGAGGGCAAGTACGTTAAGAACTATGATTGTATTCCAATTGCCCAGGGAGTATACTGGGACAGGAAAAGCCTTAGCCTGTGATTTTTAAATCTTTCTGAGATGGCTATTAAAGTAGAGGTAGAGAACTTGTATTCTGCTGTGTAATCTGAGGGAGGAAATGTTGGAAATAATAAGGCTATTAATATTTTAAGTGCAACCATAGCTGTCAACTTGAAATGTCTTCATTGCTTACACAGTAGTGACCAACAAGAAACACACTAAGATGGCTATACCTGGATAGTCAGCTGCCCCTATGCTATCCGCTTCTGAATTTCAGGAGAGCAATTAAGACTTGGTTTTTCCATCTAGCCCAAGAGGAAGGCATGGTATGAAATGTTGGGATACATTGACCAAACACATGACTTTGTATATTTTCCTGTGTCTGGTTTAGCTTGCTATTTTTGGGTGGGAGGTAGGTTTGTTTTCTTTTTATAAATTTTTTGATTGCTAGCCACTTAGAGAGTTAGCCACTTTCAGAACTCATGGCATAGGAATACAAAAAAATAAGGGAAAATAAAAATAAAACTTATATCCACTGTATATGGAATGCAAGGTGTTGCAAATCTCTGCATGACAATTTAATGTAGATATTTAAAGCTCTGGTCATGATCCATAATAATTTGATTTGATACTTAGAGCTGTGGGAGAAAAAGCACCCACCAAAGTAAGGTAAATTTCTTACAGAAAGTGATTAAGGTACTAGGCTAGAAAGCAGGAGACCATGAGTTCAAGTCCTGCCTTAGCCATGAAAGCCAACTGGATGACCTTAGGCCAGTCACTCTCTCAGTTCAACCCACCAACAGGATTGTTGTGGGGAAAATAGGAGAGGAAAGTGTATTGGATATGTTCAGGAGGAAAGTGTTGGTTATGGTCACCATTTTATTTGTAAACAAACAAACAAGAATTAATGTCTTGGTGTCATACTCTAGTCTAGAACACGACCAAAAGTGGAAGTTTTGTCCTTCACCACCATTCTAATCAAATGACCAAAAAATGCTTTTGTTGACAAAATCAAAATGTATTCTAAAGACTTTTTAAAAAGTACATATATTTCTTCTTTTCTTTACAACAATTCATCTACAAGACAGGCTCTGAAAACTGAAGCTAGATTAATAGGTCTCAAGTGATTCTATTGTGAACCTTACCATGCTATTAATAACAACTGCTCTGAGGTCATGAGATTCTAGTATTCCATTTGTTACACAAGGAACACATCATAATTGTGGAGCCAGTTCTATCTTGGCAGAATTATAGTGCAGTAATGTGAAAAACAGAAGATTGATCAATGAAGACTAAAAGGAGAACTGGAATCTGATGTTAGTATTAATTATTTTGTTTAACAGATATTTATGTTAATCTTTTAAAACCTACATTTCTTGCCACGACATCATTAAGTGACTGATTAAGATGCCTGTAGGGACTGGCCAAAAATACACTGTAGTATATGATTTGTATTTCCTGAGAATATCCAGTCAGTGGATTGGTTGTTCAATGATCTACAGAAAATGAATATATTACACCTGAGATACAAAAAACAAAAATAAAGCCTGAAGAAATTTAATGGTACTCTTCTGGAAAGAGGAGTAATAACCATGCCAAAGGTTTAGACCCAAGCACTATGGATTAGCCACAACTTTCCCTTTTAAATGTTAATTAACTGAGACTGATGTTCAAATGAGAAAACAACAGATGAGTTGAAGTAGAGGTTTGGCCAGTTTCTTATGGCTTTGGAAAATAGTGGTGTTGGAAGATCAGTCAAGTGCCATTCATAATGGCCACAGGATGATGTTTCTCATACTTGCCAACTCAATGGAAGAAAACATCCCACCCGTCTTTCTAATTTCAAGCCTTCCTATTTCTGGCTTACTCATCTCTGTCCTATAAATTGTGGTCAATCTTATTTCCCCTTGCTACATTTCATCATATACTCTGCCAGTCTACAGTCAATCTATTTCTCCAATCTTTGCTTTATGTACTACTTTAATCCTGGGAAATGTTTCTTGCCTATTGATATTTTAACACTTAAAACATTTTTTTTTCATCCAGAAGTAATTGACAGAATATAGGTTGTAATATAGTTACATAATCTTGTAAATGCATTGCTTATCCATTCTGGGAAGCAAGCTTTAGGAGGCAGAAAAAGTGCTTTCACTTTTTATATAAAGATATTTAATTATCTCTCTTCCTTGCCTGGCAATCATATATGATTGGTTTTGTTTTTTTGCGATATGCTTTTGTTTTTCCCGTCCAAGTGCTTTGAAAAAAAATTAAGTGCTGAAAATTAAGATAATGCATCCTTAGTTAGAACAGAGTTTATTACTAATTATGCTGCAATCCTCAGGTAATAATTTGGAATGTATCTTGCTGCTTGGTGAAGTGAGATTTTGTACATTAGACCTCTTGCCCATCATCCAAAATAAAGCAAAGGAAAAGAGGCATTTCTTTTCCCATGCTATTGAACGAAGAATTTATCTCAGAAGAATGTGATGAAAAAGACAAACACAAATGGTCCTTTGGAAGAGAACATTTGTAGATCAGCGTTGAAAAGAGAGGTCCTTGGTGCTGAGCTTGGTTGTTTTCTTGCAGACATTTTATTACCAAATTACATAACATCATCAGTGCTACATTGGCAAGAAAACAATCAAACTCAGAGAGCACCAAGGAGCCCACAGATGGTCCTTGCTTAATGATCATTTGTTCAGCACCCATTCAAAATTAGGATGGGCTGAACAAATGATAAGTTATGACTGGTTCTCAGAATTCTGGCCATCACAGCATCCCACAGTCATGTGATAGCAATTTGTCATCTTCCCTGCTGGCTTCCCACAGGCAAAATCAATTGGGAAGCCAACAGGAGATTGGAAGTTGTGGTCACAAAGTCGTCACTTAATGATGCCAACTGGGACTGCTGGAATTGCTGGCACTAAGTAGCATGGGCATGTTGTTGTACTTTAGACCTTTGCCATTTATTGATGGCAATTCCAGTCCCCATTGCCATTGTTAACCGAGAATTACCTGTGCAACTTATGAGATTGTACAATATTTCTCAATACTGACTAAAAAGTAGTCTAAGTCATATTCCAAGTGTGTATTGTATCAGGATACAGCATTTAGTTGGTGGGATATCATATTGGTAGTTTCTAGTTTGCACAACTTGGGAGTAAAATTGGGCTTTGATGGCACATGTGCTACGTTGACCAAATGCCCCACATTGGCTGAAATTGTGCTGTTAGCATGTGGCACACAGTATTAATACAACAATGGCTGATCACCTATTCTAATCTTTCTTTTGCTGAAAATTGAAGTGAAGCCAGAATTAGCTCAAGTTATTACAAACAGTAGAGGTAAATATTTAAGGATTCTTCTGAGGATTGGAATGGAAGAAAGTAAATGGTAAAGAATGCAAGGTGTTCATTTGTCTTCTCAAAGAGGGCTAACAAATCCTTGATGTTATGGTATTCAGTAGGTAATCTAGGTTGGCTCTTCCCAGTCAAAGTCTCTTTTATCTTAAAGGTGATTTTGTTCAAAGTTTCCCACCTATGTTAATAAGTGTGTTTGATTTGACAGGCTAAGAAAAAGTATGAAACATTTTAATAGCAACATGGAGGCAGAGGAAAGTCCCTTGTCTTCCCGATTTCTGGATATAGAGGAATACGATTTAGAAGAAAAAATACTAATTGTCTGTCTTCCGATCTGCATTTTGGGATTCATAGGAAATTCAATTATTTTGTGGCTCCTTTGCTGCAAGATCAAGATTAAATTAAGCCTGTATTTTGTGTGTGTGGCAGCTGCTAATAACATTATGACCTTCAGCATCATTTTTGAGTATGTTATGTTTTTTGCACCAGTGAATTTCAGTTTAATGTATCACCATGTATTGCATATTTTGTATTTAAGCAGTCATCAGGTCGGCTTTTATATCTTTACAGCGATCGCTGCTGAAAGATGGTGTATTCACTTTTTCCCTATTTGGTATAAACAGTTTCGGCCCGTGAATTTCTCAGCCATTATGTCCTTTTTCTTGTGGGGGTTCACCACCCTGTTATCAATTGTGACCCACTATATTTGCTCTCCAATAAAAGAAATACACTTCAGTGACATTGAGAGTTGTACAACTTCAACCATCATAGAAATCATCACTCAAACCATTTTTATTCCAAGTATGGTATTTTTTTCTTTGGGCATATGGATTAGAATTCATGTGAGACAAGAGGAAGCTCCTCCACTGAGACTAGACATCGTCATTGTAACCACAGTTCTTCTCTTTCTGATGTTGAATGTACCGCTTAACTTAGCTAGGATCTTAATGTACTGGGTCAACAGCATAGATGGATATATTCTGAGTAACCTTAGCGCACTGTTTGAGTCTATCATTAGTTCTGCCAGTCCTTTGATATATCTCATTGTTGGGTATTGGAAGAAGCCGAAAATGGAGATATCCTGTGTGTGTCTTGGAATAGCTTTGTCAGACAAAACTGTCATGACTGTAAAAACACAAACACAGACTGAAAAACCAACAACTGTATGCATAGAAGAAAATGGATGTGCATTCTCTGCTGCAAAATAAATTCTTTACAAATATTGTTAAGCACTGTTACTGACTTTGAGTATATGACTGTGTATTCTGTGCTATGCCCCATAACATACCAAGCCCTCGTTCTTGGCACTGAGCAGAGATAAGGAGATCAGCTGGTACAAATTCAAAGCACTCCAACCAAACTTCATGCAGGAGGCAAAGGTGACCAACTTGTAAAGTGGACAGGTGTTTTATCTTGCAAAAGAAAGTCTTCCATCAGAAGGGTGGTCCAGTTCAGGATTGTTTTTTAAAAAGAACCGCAAGAAGCCAAAACAGAGACCTTAAATTGCTCCTCAACAACAAGAGCAGGGTAGTAGATGGGGCAGGTGAACAAATCACCTTGGTATGGTATTCCCAGTATGAAAATTATATCGTGCAGGCATATAAAACATATATGTATATAAAAAAACTACCTGCACATTTCATGCCAATTTGTATTGTTCTTTGTGAATGGAGGGGGCAATGCTTATGCAATTATCAGCTGAGCCACCACAGAATGAACCAATGAACTCTTAAGAGTTGATCATTCAATGAAAATTCTAAAGAAGTGTAGGCAGTACAATCAGACCATTGAGAAAGCTAAGCAGTCCCCTAAAGCCAAAATACAGGGAGTCCTCGACTTACAGTACAACAGTTCACTTAGTGACCATTCAAAGTTATGTCACTGAAAAAAGTGACCGATGACCATTTTTCACATGTCCACTGCAGCATTCCATGATCACGTGATCACAATTTGGATGCCAGGCAACCAGTTCATGTTTGTGCCAAGCTCACCTGACCACCTTTTGCGATTTTCTGACAAGCAAAGCCAATGTGGGAAGCCAGATTGACTTAACAACCTTGTCACTAACTTAACAACTGCAGTGATTCACTTAACAACCATGGCCAGAAAGGTCGTGAGATGGGGCAAAATTCACTCAACAACTGTCTCACTTAGCAACAGAAATTTTGGGCTCAATTGTGGTCGAAAGATGAGGACTACCTGTATTAGAAGCACATAAAAATGAGGATTCAGAGATGCTCCTTTTTATTTTTAAAAAAGAAATCTAGCTAAGTACTCTGCTGTAAAAGTACAAACTGAATGATGATCATTTGAAAGCAGCATCCAGAGTCTCTGGGATTCCCAATCGTTTCGGGCTAGTGTCAAAAGCCATCATCTGGAATCTTACTTTGTTGTAAGTCCATTCGGAAAAAGGGGACTTGCCCATTCAAAAAATGACTATCCTTGTAAACATGTTTCCTTGAAAAACAGATTTTTCAAGAAGGCAAACTACTGCCTACTCTAAGCATTCAAGAACAAGGCAAAAGCAGGGCTTTTTTTCCTCATAGAACGCCCAGAATGGAGTTCCGGCACCTTTTTTGGATGGAACCTTGTAGGGTAGGCAAGACGGGTTATATGATGCGTGTGAGTTCCGGCACCTTTTTTTTTTTTTTATAGAAAAAAAGCACTGGGCAAAAGTACTTCCGAGTTCAAAATGTTATGTGGAACCCAGTCTTCTACTCCAGAGGCCATTTATCCTGATAGGCTTGAGAGATAAATAACTGGTCAAGAATGATAGGTGGGATCTGAACCTCACATTTCAAAGCACAGATTTGTTTCTATAAAACATAACAGAATATTTTATTTTTTAAAAAATGATAACGATTGGCTTCCGGCACAGCATAGCAGATTGAGCTCAACTGTGCTTTTTCCAAAGCCAGCAAGCATGACTGAATTAGGAGCCGATGATGGGGAATAGCTGCTTCGAACTCCTCTCCAGGTCAAGGAGAAGGTAAGGATCACCCATGTTTGACTCCTTACAGGCACTCATTGTGAAGAAAGCACAAAACAGCATTCTCCAATGGGTTTGAGAGATAAGGCAAGCTGACAATTTTATTTTCAAATGCTAGATATCCTATGGAGCCTAAAAGCATTCTTGGAAATAGAGATACTCAGGGTGAAGTTCCCTTTTTCAGTATATCCACCTCTGAGCAACAAATGGAAACATTAAAAAATAAAAAGCAAATGGGGAAACTAGCTATCTAGTCAGTGAACTTGTCCAAAGGCACAAGACTGGGGATCCCAGCAATACATAGCACTTTTAGTCTGGCTGGTAGACACATCGCAGTAGATCATGCATGACGTATACATCCTGTGGGTTTAGCTTATGAGAACCTAGTCAGTTAAGCTTTGTCAACAAATCACAGTAAACCATGAAGAGCTAGTGATAAAAACTTTGAGAACCTGAAGAGAAGGAGGAAGAAGTTTTATGCATATATTTGCTTACAGTATGTTCATTTTTCTCAGGTATTTGGGGTATTTGTCCTAATCAGAAGGAAACAAATAATGGGGTATTTGTCCTAATCAGAAGGAAACAAATAAATGGGGTATTTGTCCTAATCAGAAGGAAACAAATAAAGGAGCATAAACTTATTTGCAATCTATGATGATACTATTTAGCAATTCAAATGGAATAAAATTCAGTAGGTAGCTACATGGACGAGTGCACTACAATTAACTACTGTACTTTGGAACGTGAAGAAAACCTGCCATGGTTTTCAATTGGATCAAAATGGGAAAAATTGATTCACCTGTGGGTCAGACAACCATATAAATCACTATCATTCACCTGTGGGGAATATAAACCATATAAATCATTATCATTTCTCATTCAAAGGTGCAAATGTAGAAAGATAACACACAGTATTGGGAGAAATTGCATATAGAACAATGCAGATTAAAATAAATTCTAATTAGAAGAAAAATGGAGTAATATATACAATCCAACAATACTAATAAGATTAAAATGAGACTACTCCACGTATTCCAAGCTATAATTATGTAAGTACTAGTTATTAATTTATTTGTGATTTCTTTCCAGTTATCTCTGGTTTCTGAGCTGCATATTGATAAACCAGAGAAGATACCCCTTAAAAATGATAAGCATAAGTCATAGTGGGCTTGCCTCTTTTATATTATAGATCATCTATTCCTATTTGGAAATTAAGAGGGGCTTTGTGCTCAAACCAAGACAAAATTCACAATGAAACAGATTCAGAATGATACTCTTTTGAGCACAGTTAAACTATGGTTAACAGTTGCTGTGAGGTCATGGGATTCTCATTCTGTTGTTTGGTCCATACATCATCATAGGCACCTGGTCGTAGATTAGATGTTTATGGTGAACCAGAAACTTGATCAAAGACAGTTGAAAAAATATGGGGTTATAACCATGGTAGCATTTACTTTTCTATCTAATTTGATAGACAAATTTATTAACTACAACAAGTGTCTATTTAAGAGGCATTCTAGGAATTTGTGAACATAATCTTGTATAATGTATTCTGTAATTTGGTTATAAGAATATTTAACCAGGGATCGCACTGTTAAAAGAGATCACTGCACCAAAAGTAGAATAGTCCTTGTAATAGCTGGAAGGAAGTTTGGAACTAAGACAAATGAAAATCATCTTTTTTCTTTGGTGTTTTCTTCAGAAATAAGTTTAATGTGTTGACCTCTCCTGTCTTTCCTAACCTGTTTGCTATTCCTCAAGAGGAATTCTGTATTGGCTTCAGAGAGGCAGAGTTAAGAGTTTGATCTGCAGGTGATTGGATAAGTAGTCTCTTCAAGTAGATACTGATAAGTTCCAATACAAGTTATTTTACGTAATCAGCGTCTTAATAGGTGATTGTGGACAGTTCCAGCATAGACAATATAAGAATGGAGACCCTGTAGTCTTCCCAATGTTGCCAAACTACATCTCCCAGCATCCCTTCCCTTTGCTGATATAGCCAGTTAATAATACCTAAAGGATTACTGGTTACTTACCTTATCAGTAATTAAAGAGGTATCTAGAACCATTTAAATTAGTATTGGGCCCCAGTCTAGCACAGAAATTGCTATGAACAATCTGATCTCTAGAATCTGCAGCACCTGTTTGCTGATTGCCTTGTTCATGTGGGAATTATTGGGCATAAAACATTTAATATTTAGGCACAAATCCAGATATTATATTTAGAATGCAATACTGGTTCACATTGTATTATTGTATATTGAAGTGGTCACTTCTGAAAAGGAGTCCTTGCGTGTTGTAATTTTGTTCTGGAAAAGCCATTTTACTAAGAAATGTAAGAAAAAGACTTTTAACACACATTTGTTGATTTAGATAAAATGTATTACCAAATAAATAGACTTGATCCCTTTGCTTTAAATTATATTAAAAATGATTTCTATATATGATCAATCATCTTATCACCAGGGAAACTATTTGGAGGATTATGTAGAAATTTGTCTGGATAAATAAATTATCAATTTAAATTCCCTTTCCTCTCTATTGTTAGGTGAATGAAGAAACAGTAATAATCATGTAACATGACATAATAGTTCTGGTTTAGCGATTGCCTCAGGGAGTGACCGTTTGTATTTACAATGATAAAAAAGTTTATGGCCAATCCTTACATTTATGACTTTTCAGATTGGTAAAACAGAGCAAAGCTGAAATAAGATTGTAAGAACAGTTGCATTTTCATTCAGCTCAGCAACCAAAATTGCCAATTCCACTTGTGGTTGTTTATTGAAGATTACTTGTAGTTTTGTGTAACAGGTGAAAAAAATATGGTTTACAGATTTTCTTTTTGCAATAGCACTAGCAATAGCATTTAGACTTATATACTGCTTCACAGTATTTTCCAACCCTTTCTAAGCGGTTTACAGAGTCAGTTTATTGCCCCAACAATCTGGGTCTTCATTTTGCTGACCTTGGAAGGATGGAAGGCTGAGTCAACCTTGAGCCGGTGAGAATCAAACTGCCAAACTGTTGGCAGCTGGCAGTCAGCAGAAGTAGCCTGCCGTACTGCATTCTAACCACTGCGCCACCACGACTCAATACAAAATCCCATTAGATATCTGCGTGAACAGAGCCCATAACATAATAACAAGAAATTGTGTTTGCTTTTGACAGGTTGAGAACAATTTCAAAACATGTGAACAGTGTTGTGCCAGAACAGATTAGCAATATTCCATATATGCTGACCCAGCGAATGAAAATGAGACTGAAGTGGCACAGAAAGCACACCACACTGACATAAGCAATGATCCTTATTGCTCTTCCAGTCAGCATTTTGGGAATATTTGGAAACCTAGTGGTTATTTTGTTTCTTTCCTTTAAAATTAAGAAGACCAGGTTTACCGTATATGTCCTAAATATAACTATTGCTGATCTTGGTATTCTAATCTATCTATATATTTATTTTATGTTATTTTTAAAACCAAATCCTGTCAATGCATCTGTGTCCTACATAATAGAACTGATATACGCAGTTGGATACAATTGCAGCTTCTATATTCTAACAGCTCTCTGCTTTGAAAGGTATTTATCTGTTTTTTTCTTTACCTGGTATCAATGTCATCGGCCAGAGCATTTTTCATTTTTTCTCGTGATCACATTGTGGATATTTTCTGGCCTAGTATCGCTTTTGGAATACTTTGCTTGCTATCCAAGGTTCTACATATATTTGGATGAAAATACTTTACAGTGTAGAATCATAAATCTATTCCAAATATTTCTTGAGTTCCTGATTTTTATTCCCATCATGGTCTTTTACACTTTGGCTATTTTTATCAGAATGCAGAAAAAAAATCAGCAAACTCCTCCAGCAACACTTGATCTTTCTATTACTGCTACTGTTGTTCTTTTTCTTGTATTTGATGTATCGGTTAAAATTTTTAACGCTATTGAATTTTGGTTTGATGCACTACATGTACCAACATTTTCAGTGGCGGTATTATTTGACACCATAAGCAGTAGTGTCAACCCGTATGTGTATTTTATTATTGGAGGCTTTCTGAAAAGAAGCTTTGATCCTCTTGATGTTTTTCTTGAGAGAGCTTTGGAAGATGACGGAACTATGGTGGAGGGAACATAAATGCAGCAAGAACAATTTTCCAAATGACTTTAGGAGCCAAAGAAATATCCATAGAAAATACACTAATGATTTACAATTCCAATTTCAAAACAATTCATTCATTATTCCTTATATATCCTCCAGGTCCATTAATTAAATCAGACAAATGCTTTATTTGGCTCACAACTCCTTGTCTATTTCTGCCATACCAAAAAAAAAAAAAAAAAAAAAACCAGTGTAAAGAAGTTGGTGGCCAGGAAAGAAAGGTTCCTCTGAGGAAAGAGTTTTAATTTTGCGAAGACTTTGTTGCAGTTATGAACTATGAGACCAAGAGCCCTAAAGCAGTAAGGAGAAGCAACTGTAGGCTACCTCTACACATGGAAGATTGGAAGGGAGCAGAGAAAGAAGAAGAGAAAGCTGTGGAGTCAAAGGAAGCCAAAAGGAACGGAAAGAAAAATCTACAGATGGGAATATACTGGCATTTGTATACCCCTAAAGACTGACAGAGGAGGTTTATGTTCACACAAACAGTATTCAACCTACATTTCCATCTCGAAGATTCTGATAGGTATGAAGTGATGCATCTTGACTCTGAGTTACATACATTAAGAAAGCACAATTGTTTATCTTTAGAGTACAATGTACTGCTTTAAAGGACTTTAACCTAATTAGAACACATGGGATAGGTTTTCCCAAAGGGGAAAAAAAATCTTCAAACTTTTTGGATTTTGTATGTTAATGTCATAAACTTTTTATTTGAAATTTTATACCTAGAATGACATTGTACTGAAAGGTTCTGGCTGATGTAAACTTAGAAAAAAAAAAGTAGAAATTTGCCAAATAAAACAAGGATAAAATCAGCAAATGATAACCAATGCAGTGTCTTTAAAAAAAAAATCAAGGTCAAAATCAGAGGCCAAAATAGTTTTTTTGAAAAAGAAGCATAAAAATTAACTGGTGGAATTAAAAACAATTCTTCACCTGATAGGAAAAAAATCTAAAGAAAAAAAAATCTGGTACTGGGTAATTATTTCTGGAAAGACGGAAGGAGACAGAATACTCAAATACTTCACAAGACACAGTTTAACGATGTAACCCAAATGAGGGCATACCTTTCATCTCTGCCATTTTACTAAAGCAAGCAGGGGAGATTCTATCATAAAGATGAAAGAAACAAAAATAGGAATGTCTGCAAGGGGTCATGGTAATTAAGGAAGTTAAAATGGCAGTTGTGTGACCATGTAACTAAAGCCCCACCCCTTTTTGACATGTGTTGTAACAACCATTAAGGAGAAATAGATTGCATGATTGCTATCTTGATATTTTTTGACTTTCACTTACAGTCACCTCCGGCTAGTCAGTGTTTCTTAACCTTGACAATTTTAAGGCATGTGGACTTCAACTCCCAGAATTCCACAGCCAGCATTGCTGGCTGTGGAATTCTGGGAGTTGAAGTCCACATGCCTTAAAATTATCAAGGTTGAGAAACACTGGGCTAAGTGAAGGTAAAAATATTTGGAGAACTTGTTGCACTTCTTTCTTAAAAAAGGTGTTCCTCAGATGCCATCTTCAATTATCATGCAACTGGATACTGTGACATTATTTGATGGATTTATAGGGCCAACCAATCCAATAGGCCACTTGTGAAAGGTTATGAAGACACCAGACAGTTTCACATAAGTTATTTTGCTTTAAAGCAGTGGTTCTCAACCTGTGGGTCGGGATCCCATTTGGGGTCGAATGACCATTTCACGGGGGTCACCAAACAACGCAGTCTGCCATTTCTCCCCCCCCCCTTTTCCTTAGCTGTGCTACTCCCTTTTATTCTATTGGCTTGAATAGAGTCTAATTCTATTGGCTTTCAAAAGCCAATAGGAATTGTCCAGGCTGTCTCTGCCCTGCTGAGCCCACCAAAAGTCCCATTCTGCAAACGGTGCTGCAAGTTGTCTGCAGCGAAGGCGAGCTGTCTGGAAGTTTCCACCCCTCCCTTCTGAGCAACTACTAAAAATGTAAGTAAAAGAGGGCCAGGGGTGGGAGGTGGGAGGCCAGCGGGAGCAGGGAGGGTTGCTGACGCGCGTGGGGCCCAGCGGGTGCCTTACCTCCCTTGGGTTGGGCCAGCTGGTGGCCCAGCCGGTGGTCGGCCTGCTCCGTCTCTGCCGCTTGCCAGCTACGCCTTGGCCGGCACAGGGGGCAGCACCACGCATGCGCAGCGCTCCCGGGCAGGGAAAGTCCTTGACTTACGACCGGTTGGATAGTCCTCGACTTACGACCGGTTTAGTCCTCGACTTACAACCGGTTGTTTAGTCCTCGACTTACAACTGGTTGGGGGGTCGCGGCATTAAAAAGGTTGGGAGCCACTGCTTTAAAGGCAAAAAGGCAAAAAAAAAATATTTCAATCCTTACCCAGAAGCTGACAGCCCAGGTTCGAGACCCAAGCATCAACAATGGGATGACCTCCAGTTACTGGCTCCAGCTTCTACCTACCTAGCAGTTTGAAAGCATGCAAATGCAAGTAGATAAATAGATATCACTTTGGTGGGAAGGTTAACGGTGTTCTGTGCGCCTCAGCATATAGTCATGACCAAACGTAATTAAGAAATGAGGCTTAGCCAAACTTTATGCCCATTTAGGCTACATTACAACTATGAAGTTAGACGGAATCTTTCAGCTCCCAGCTACTTGAATCACCAGCCAACTGTAAAAACCTCAGTTCCTGCAGTCTACCTAGGAGGAGTTGCTGTCCAGGGTACATGTGGATGATCTCACAATCCCTACTTTCTCCAGAGAGAATTTGGTGGCCAAGATCTACCCTCCAGCTGCCAATCTCCACTGAATGCCGTCACTGCTAATTGATAGGTGCCTAGGTTGCCATTTCCTCACTGGAAGTTCTATGAAAGAACAATTCCCAGTAAATATGAGTCATATGTGTCTGGGGCTGCATGTGAACTACACAAATTATAACTTTTATCCATTTTTAATCTTTCCACTTAGGTGCATATAAAATTAAATTTTCCATTTTTTTCTACATGAGAACTAAAAACTATTGAAGGAGTACAGTAGGATCGTCGACACCTGATTTGTAATCCCATGGGTCCTGAATCCCATTCAGTTCAGAGGCCAGAAGGACCAATGGGAAGAAGACATAGCTCCTGGGGGTATCAAAGAGAACTGATTACATAAGTGTATTTTTAATACAATTTTACATACTGCCCCTATACCCAGTCTTGAGTTAATAAGACTGTTAAATTACACACACTTTATGTTCTGAATTATTGTCTCCTTTTTCTATGTTTCTTTTTGTATAGTTGTAATGCATTGTTACAAATATATTCACAGCAATTTTTTAAAAAAAATTCAAAGCAAGGACTTAAAAGTTTTACTATATATTTAGAAGGGGAAAAACTATTGTATTTCTAAACTAAATTATAGTCTTGCATTTTTCTTTATGCAAGGTGGGATGGTCTAGTTTTTGGATAAGCAACTTCATAAACTGACTTGGGCATATCCCTCTGCAGAAGGATAAACTGTTGCCATGTTAAGTTTAGGGTTTAGAAAATGCATTCAACCTACATAATCAGCACCTTAAAACATTCCTTCTCTACTTTGACCCTTTTACTCATAAGAAGTTAGAGACTGTGGCCTTTAGTTTGAGACACAATGACAGTGCTGTTCTAAAGATTATCCTTACTGTAGAGCAGTGTTTCTCAACCTTGACAATTTTAAGGCATGTGGACTTCAACTCCCAGAATTCCACAGCCAGCATTGCTGGCTGTGGAATTCTGGGAGTTGAAGTCCACATGCCTTAAAATTGTCAAGGTTGAGAAACACTGCTGTAGAGAGATCACTGGCACAGACTTGAAAAGAGGCATTTAGTGGCATCATCTTTTCCCCCGTTTTTTTATGAAGGATGTTTTTTTCCTTCTTGGTGGCAGAGATAGAAAACCATTTCTGAAGAAAAATGAATGAAGACCGGAATGAATGAAGAGTTGAGAGTGGACTAGAGATATCAATATCAACTTGTTTGGTTTTGTAAAATCAACAGTTCTCACAAATATCACAGTATTTATGTTGGATGAAACTAGGAAATGTCCATTTACCAAAACCAGATGTAAATCTTATTCAAAGCTATATGTAGCAGCTATGATGACTGATGGTTTAAGACTGCTTGTCCTGAGCATTGGAGTCTGAGCTCAGGGCTATACATTTGAGTTTAAAATAATTACAGGAATTTTTACTTTTTATCAACTATAAATAGAAAGAAAATAGCATCAGCAGCATAAACTTTTTCAAAAGCTTTCTCTTCACATTCAATGAGTTATTGAGAAGAAGGTTGAAATAGATTGTTAGTGAAATAGACTGTTTGTTCTTGGAGAAGAAATTAGGAAGTACAAAAAAAAATAGGGCCATGATAATAGCTGTTCTACATTTGGATGTATTCTGGGTCTTCTAGGACATTTTACAGCCTAGGACTGTAATACGTAATGCTATTTTTTTCCCCTATCCCAACTTTTCTGTATACAGAGCTTATCTTCTGAGATTCTTACCATGAAAGGTTAGCTGTATAGTGACTGAAGTGCCTTTTATGTTTCAAGCCTCAGCAAGAACTGCCTACTACTATGATTAACTTTTTGGTATCAAATAGAGTTATTCCACTTCTTCCAGAATTTAACATCTACTGTATTTGTGTAGTTTATACATTAAATTATTTTGGGTACTCTAGGTGAACTGCCCTGGAAGCTTCATATCCCCCTTGAAAAGATTGTATACAAGCAGCAAGCACAAAATATTTTGTGAAATACTTACGCTTTAAGAAAATCCGCCATATCTGTTCCATTACTCCAGTGTTTCCCAAACTTGACAATTTTAAGGCATGAGGATTTCAACTCCCAGAATTCTGGGAGTTGAAGTCCTCATGCCTTAAAATTGTCAAGTTTGGGAAACACCCCATTACTCCTTTCCATTCTTCTGTATTTTTTTTCATAATAAGGAAGTCTGCTTTTCACTGCATCCTATATGACCAAGTTCTCCTTTCCTATTCTTCTTTCCACATTAGGAACCACACAACTTTGGGATCATTGCAAAGTGTTTTAATCTATTATTGTACAGCTTACATTGAGAGAAAAAGAAACCAAGCATTTCTAGTGGATGAGCTGTTACACACGACAACTATAAGACCCTCCAAGCAAGAAAGCCAGCAGAGACCAAGAAGCCACAATGGCACATATTCTGAAAGGGCATAAAAATATAAACATAAATGCAATTTGTGCCGAACAACATCAAGAGTTAAAAAGTTTAGTTCTATCTGCCATAGATTCAGTTTCACTCGACTTTTATCATTCAAAATGGGCAACTTAATTACAAGGGCATTACGCAATGGTTTAGATCAACGGTTCTCAACCTATGGGTCGCGACCCCATTTGGGGTCGATCGACCATTTCTCGGGGGTCGCCAAACAAGGCGATCCGCCATTTTTCCCCCTCAGGGGGGGCGCTGCGCATGCGCGCTGCGCATGGGGGCGGCACCGCGCATGCGCGGCACGTTTGTGTGACGGGGGTCGTCGTCACACAAACGTTGAGAACCATTGGTTTAGATATTCCATGCTTTAGTTATTGTATAAAATCAGATAATTCCCAAAGCAGCTTATAGCATAAAAATCTTTCAAATATATTAAGTCACATTAAGTAAGCAATTTTAAATAAAGCCAGTTATAATGGAATACAGTATCCAGTTAACACAATCCTGTTAATCCTGAGAATCTTTCTCAGATTCTCTACTTGCTCAGTCTTTGTCTTCACTACTTGAAGTAGCAAAATAAAATGAATACACATATAAAAAGAGTTCATGACCTATATCTGCCGTCTTCAAGCAGATTCTTCCAAGTATGTTGGAATACAGCTCATCTCAGCCTCGGCCTGTGTGACTGTGGAGGCCAGAGATGATGAGAACCGCGTTTCTTACTCCAGAGCAAATATGGCTTTATATTCATTGACCCATTAGAACAGTGTTTCCCAAACTTGACAATTTTAAGGCATGTGGACTTCAACTCCCAGAATTCCACAGCCAGCATTGCTGGCTGTGGAATTCTGGGAGTTGAAGTCCTCATGCCTTAAAATTGTCAAGTTTGGGAAACACTGCATTAGAAAGTGGCTGGAACCATGCTTAAGAGTGCATTATCAATAAAGCTTAAAATAAATTCTGCACTCTTTCAACCCTGATTCTGTTCTACCTTCCCGTGGCTTTAAGCACTGTATTTCATTGAGGCTAAGGACTGACAGGTTTTACACTGGTAAGATCCCAACTGTATTCCACAAACAGTGCAATTTGAAGATGGAAGTGTTTTTGATATATCAATTTAACATCTTGAATAATTAAGCCCCTAAATGATGCTATCCAGGATGGAAACTTAACAGTTACCCATAGTTTGAGAATTATCTCATAAGTTCCAGCTGGCAGAAAAGGCAATTGGGGAAGTGTATGTCATATAGTGTACGTAGCTGTTCTGTCTCCAATGGGATGCACCGCTGAGAATGTGAATCTGGGCGATGCTCAATAAGCTTTTAATCATTCATATTTTGAAGATTGATGCTTGACCAATAGAGAGCAGTGGAAAGTAATCATGCCAGACAAATGTGGCATACTTCTCTTGAAGAATGTACTTCCAGTTGAGCAGTTGCAGCCAGATGCAGAATGCAACAACTCAAGCAATTAAGCAAGGATAGATTTCTGCATTTCAACACCCAGACTGAATTCAGATAATTTTTTTGTAAATGGCCATTTCAAAAGGTAGCATAAAGTCAAGCTTACTTACTGTAGGAAGCTAGTCACTCGTGGAGAATGCTTCCAATGGTGATATACGGAAATCTGTAGGTTAGGATGGGCCTTATATGCTTTCAGAACTATCCTGATGCTGTAAGAATAATTTGAAGAGGAAACTCAGCTTGCTGGCTAATATACAGCAAAGAAGAATGCTTCATACAACCAAATAATAGCTTTGCTACCAAAAGAAGCAGGCACTAATCAATGTTGGGAAACTGTTGCCTCAGCTACTGTTCCTCTTGCCTACAAAATAAGTCCCACTCTTAGCCAGAAGAAGTCTACAGCCACCCAATTAACCTCCATGTAACCCTACCAAAACATGCTTGCTCACATTCTCACAGCGCATAGGGTTTATATGTTAGCCCTTTGTCTTGAGGAAAAGAAGACTCCACCTTTCTTTCCCTCAAGCTTCCACTTTTTCCTTTTTAATTGTTCTTTCTAGGCCAAAGCAAAAGACCAAGAGGAACAAACCCACAGCAATTTCTCGTCTTCTCTCGCAAAACATCACATTTCCTTTAAGCCCATCCTCATTTCCCTGTTTTGTTTTTAGGATTAAAATTAAAAGCCCAAGCAGGGCACTAGCATATACGGTAATATGCTTGGTTTAGTTTGGCCTTAACAGATTTATGAACCTGTCCATTCTGGCACATAAGCCATGGTTTCCTCAACCAATCTTTAAACCACTGACGAAGGAGGAAACAGCTGCAAAAGAAAGACTCAGAATTGTTGAGAAATTATCAATAATGTGTTCTTATTCTTTGAAGCTGGAATCTGAACTATTTAAATTTTTAGATAAGTTCCAGATAGTACATAAGTAGAAAGTGAGAGTATTTAAAGAAAACCAAAATATAAGGACAATAGTCCTAAGACGTTTGAGCATGTAAAGACAATTTTAAGATTTATCCATCTTTCAAATATGTTTGACAGGTTAATTCTCATATTGTTTAGGAATAAAGAAAATATTACTCATAAAATCATAAAGTTAGAAAGGATCTTAGAAATTATCTAATTCAACTTCATGATCCACTAGAGCCTCACTGGCAGATCCAACTCTGAAAATCCGTATCAAAAGTGAACATACAGTGGCAGCCTGCTGCATCGGCTGATAGCCCACACAGTCAGAAAGTTGCAGATTCAGGGGCAATTGGATTTTAATCACATACTCTTTAAAATTATTGGCGAGCAGGAGAAACTGGTTCACTCTTAGCCGACAGACATCAAACCTACAGAAAGTCCTCAACTCTTGATGAATCTGCTCTTCAGTTACCCCATGCCACCCCTTCACAGTGGCTAATAGGAGGGGGGGACGTGTTGTCAGGTCATCCAGGCCAGAAAAATTCTGAGGAAATAATAAATTTTCAGTTGTTGAGAGCATCAGAAAGATGTTTCAAACTATGAATTGAAATATTATGGCATTTTATACAAAAGAGATACACACCCGGTGTGGTGATCGGAACTTACAATTAATGTAAATATTTTTTTAAAAAGCTATGAGCATATCCTTTAAATGCTATCTTGCTTATTAAATATACTAATAACATTTTGATGGCAAAAATCTAAGTCCAGTTGACCTTGGCTGATCTAAAGGAAATGCTGGTCAATACTTGCATGGAAAACAAGTAGGAAATTCCAGAGCTACAGATTAGAAAGGGACATTAAAAAAAAAAAAACATTTGGGAGAAGGTAATACTGTAATGAACCATTTCTCGTGTCATTTGTACTTAACGGAGCCTGGGAATACAGAGGAGCCATCAAGGCAATAAAGGGAGGAAGCAAAGCCATTAGAGAAGAGATTCTGGAGTCCAGGGAAAGGGGAGAATTGTGAGAAACCAACTCAAAGTAACCAGCTTTCTTTTTTTGCCCATCTTAAGGGACACGTAACTCTGGGCATCTCACAACAAAAGTAAAAATAAATAAATAAATAAATAAATAAATATTAAACCACAAGGAAAAACCTGGCACTTCAGCCATTCTCCTCCAATGCAACTAGGTATTACAACTAGGTGTAAGTTGATCTGGAGAATTACTTTGGCAAGCTTTCAAGGTTAGCCGACTGGCATTAAAAATCTCTCCAGAAATCCAGGTGGTGCTTGTTTTTTAAGCTTGGTAGCTTCAGAGGGATGGGCAATATTGCTGCAAAATAAATTGCATGGCCTGATCCAGAAAGCCACCAAGAACTGAGTACAATTCAAAGGCATCATGCCATCACATACTGCAACAGTTGGAAAAGATCTTGAAGATAAGCTATTCTGACTCCCTGCCCTGGGGTTTCTACTACTAAAGCAGAATCTTTAGTCTCTTCAATAATGCTACATGGTTGGGAATCCTGGATTTGATATTCAGCATAGCTAAAAACACATACTTGGCAGACTGTAGTCCTGAAAACATGAAATGTACATGTGAAACAATTACATTTATTAAGACTCAATGCTCTTGGAATATAAGCTCAATAGGGGGCTATCATATGAATTTTTAAAGGAAATTTGCTTTTAGAGATAAATAATGACTAATCACATGAGTCTGTAATTAAGGATGGCAATGTAGCATCGGTATATTTCCCACTGAATTCCAGACTGTAATTAGATCCTTTCCATTTTTAAAAAAGTTACATAATGGAGTTGGTTAAGATATTTAAATACTGAGACCTCACAGCAAGACAGGAGTCTTCTGTCATCACTACCCTTTTTTCCTTCACATATTGTATCAAAGGAAACAGTATACTGTTGCATGCTGAACTTCTGTCCAGCCACATTAAAACTCAAAAACAAAGAGTGAGTGGAGGGAAAAAACTAACCTCCGTGACAAGAGGGTGGGAGGATAAAAATGACAAAGAAAACAGTGAGAAGGTTAAAAAAAAAACCTGCATGCTGCTTAGATGCCCATATTTAGAGAAAACAGAATGTTGTCAACATTGGAAATTAATGATGTTCCTAAACTTCATGATAAGTCTATTTTAGGTGGGTCCCTGGAAACACATTTACTCAAAAGACCCTGGAGATTAAATCAGATATATTTGAGATGAAGAATGTTTCTGTATGCATAAGGACTAGGGCAAAATGTTTAGTCAAATGTTGCAAACTAGGACATGTAGTCAACTACCTTTATTATTGTGCTGATGATGATTATTAATCAGAAAAGCTGGACATTTACTTCCTTCCTATGATATGAACAACATGTATGCTGCCCATAACACTATCTTAATAAATGATCCTGTTTTGCCTCCTTGCCTATATAGGGAGAAAGAGAAAAAAGCAGGGGAAGAGAGAGAGAGATCCTCAATTTCACAATTCCTCCCATAACAGACACAAGCTCTGTAAGGTAAAAGGTAGGCTCCTCTGGCTACAAAAATCATGTTTCTTCACTACCCAATAGAAAAAGGGGGAGTGCGAGAGAAATTTGGTATAAGCCAGTGATTCTCAACCTTTCTAATGCCGTGACCCCATAATACAGTTCCCCATTGTTGTGGCCACCAATAAGAGGGAGTAGGACAGCTAGGGAAAAAGGGAAAAAATGGCGGACAGCATGGTTTGGTGACCCCCGTGAAATGATCATTCGACCCCAAATGGGGTCCCAACCCACAGGTTGAGAACCACTGGTATAAGCAATTGGTGATGTGGAGAAGTAATTGTTTTAATGTTTCTTTTTTCAAATTCTGCATTTAAACATCCCAGCCTTTCACTGTGTAGCTATTACAAGCCTCCTGCCCCCAAACTACATCTCCCTGAGGCCCACTACATAAGCCAGGGAGGGGGAACTATGACCCTTTTACAATCTGTGAACTTCAATTCCTAGAATTCCTGCGCCAACATGGCTGGCTTGGGAATTCTGGGAGTTGAAGTTCACAGACCGTAAAAGGGCCATAGTTCCCCACCCGTCATAGACCAATCCCTTAGGATTTTGGTAGATGACGGAGGAGCAGCCTTTTTCTGTCTGGGATAGAGGGTGACCATAACTCAGCCTTTGTACTCTGACTGAAGACTCACAGAGGACATTGCTTGTGATGCTGTAGCATCATTGTGGCAGCCAATCTAAAATAGAGGGACTTTTTGTTCTTTATTTATTTATTTATTTTGATTTTGAGATGGTTCTAAGGGACAAAATATGCAATCCAATTTGGGGATGGGAGGTGGGGGAATTTAAGGAATACAGTTAGTGCCTTAATGAAAGATTTACTACATCCATTACAAACCCCCTTCCCCAAAGAAACAGGGTTCAAATGGTTAGCCCTGCCCATTTCAAGGGAAATCTGAAGCTGCTCACCCCAACCTGCTAGCTTATCTCTTGTCATAACTGGCTGATTTCATACTCACAATTTTCTGAACTCCGCCTCGAATTAAGTTCACCTGATTCACATATGCAGCTAATACATCAACGTACTGAGAAAAAGTGGGTGTTGCTGTTTGATCACTAAAAGAAAAGAAATAAGGCGAGTTTTTAATAATTTTACAAAGTTGCATTGGAGAAAGATATCATGACTGCAGTGTATAAATGCCAAATTTCCATTTGGTGCTTTTTGTCCGGCTTAAAATGTTTGTTCTTTGAAAAAAAGGAAGAAAAATAGACAATTTGCACCTTTTTAGCCTAATAATCATCATATACAATAATCCAGTATGCCTTCTTCGGTTTCATTTTTTTTGTAGTTTTTGAATGATCAAATCCAAGCTTAATGCTTCTTTTTCAAACAAAACTACCTCCAACACTGTAACCTTTCCCATACACAAAAATTGCTCCATTTTTCTGTAACCTCAGCTGATTTATTCATGTCTTTTTTCCAAACCTACAATACCTACCAATTTTACCAGAAAAATACATATCATTTCATGTGTAGTACAAATATGGAGAAATTTATCCTTTATCCACAGCAACCAAACCTACTGAATTAACAAGCAATCCAAAATTCCAAGGCTGTCTCTTGAATAGTTTTCATTAATTCAAATCTTAAAAGTTACTTAGGATTTTTGTCTTCTGCCATAAAAGAAATTCCTTTAAACTTCCCTCAGTGCAGAATATGACATTTGGTGCTGTGAATTTTTTTAACCACTGTAAGTAATTTGGTGGGGTTAGCAAATGTAATCAGCTCTCTGATAATTCTGACTTTCAGAATATTTATCAATTATATAGATGTTCTTCAACTTTTAACATGAAACAGTATTCAGTAAAAAAATGTATTGCCATTCACATCTATCATTGAAAAGTCAAACTGTTACTTACCCAGTTTTTCTGCAAAGGAGCAAATGAGCTATTTTAAGAAGAACTAAAAGAAAGGATATATATACAGTTATACCCACTGTTAGTTACTATTAGTGCTATAAGTAAATGTGAAAACTGTTAAGTGAAAGAGAATGACCTTCCCCTACCATAGTTCATACAAAGTATTAAGAGCTTTGGAAGAGCTTTGGGCCTTTGGAAGAGGTACAGATTTGCTGGAGGTGACAAGGATTTGCCCATTCAGTCACTCAGAATTGAGCCTGTCTTGAGGGCACCCAACTAACTAGCCCTTCAAGTATTCCCAATTGCAACAACTACAGTAGTAAAAGTATGACTTGTTCCTTAGCTAAAAATTTACAAAGGGCTGAAATACGTACTCTTGCATGAGACACAAATAATTACTGTTTCATTTATTTAAAAAAAGTAGAGAAAGAATTATACAAGTGGTCTTTGCTAAATGAGCACTAATTCAGCAACCATTCAAAGTTAGTTATGACTGGACCTCAGAGTTATGGCTGTGCAATGCCTCTGCAGCTAAGAGATCACATAGCAAGAGCACTTGGACTTATATACGGCTTCATAGTGCTTTACAGCCCTAAGCAGTTTGCAGACTCAGCATATTGCTCCCAACAATCTGGGCTCTCGTTTTAACGACCTCAGAAGGATGGAAGGCTGAGTCAAACTTGAGCCGGTCAGGATCAAACTCCTGGCATTGGGCGGAGTCAGCCTGCAATACTGCATTCTAACCACTGCACCACATGGCTCCAAAATTTGTGTAGTCCAGGGGTAGGCAACCTTGGCTCTTTTATGACCTGTGGACTTCAACTCCCAGAATTCCTGAGCCAGCCTAGTTGGCTCAGGAATTCTGGGAGTTGAAGTCCACAAGATATCAAAGAGCCAAGGTTGCCTACTCCTGGTGTAGTCCATCCTTATTTCTGACTACAGCATGAACTTCAATTCTCCGTACTTACTTATCCCACTCCAACTGTAGCCTTTTGCCCACCCTGCCCTCCTCTGAAACCTACGCCTGCTGCCCCTCACTGCCACCTCCTTAAGTTCTGCTGCTGAGGCACACAAAGCATTGCAAAGGGCAGCAGCCGTCTCAACTGGAGAAGTGTGAGGTCTTTTCGTAAGAACAGTACAGCCCTCACTTCACCAAGCAAAGGGATTCCCAGAACTCCTGTACCATTGCTAAGTGGCGCAGTTAAGGGATGTTTCACCTAAGAAACTGTTTCAATTAGCAACAGAAATTCCAGTTCCAAGTAGGATAACTAAATGAGGACTGTCTGCAAATGGAAATCTGGATCTTACCAGTGGGGAATTTACTTTCAGAGGAAAAGCATAGAAATATATATATATATATATTTTAAAAAATGAGTTATCCATGGAATTTCACTAGCAACATATGAAAATTTACAGATTTTATATATTCATAAGCTATGAAGGTCAGGATCCAGACATCCTTCCTGTATCAACCTACATCTTAATAGAGCCATACATCCTTTATGAAGGCAAAAGCTGCAAAGCGAAAGCTCTAACTATGCTGAAGTTTCCCTTTCCGTAACAGAAAATTGGACAGAAGCTACTTGGTTGCATCTGAACAAGTGGACAGCATAATTCTATAAAGAGCTGTGGTGACACAGTGGTTAGAATGCAGGCTAATTCTGCCAACTGCCAGCAGTTCGAGTCTCACTGGCTCAAGGTTGACTCAGCCTTTCATCCTTCCAAAGTCAGTAAAATGAGGACCCAGATTGTTGGGGGCAATAGGCTGACTCTGTAAACTGCTTAGAGAGAGGGCTGTAAAAGCACTGTGGAGTGGTATATAAGTTTAAGTGCTATTGCTATTGCTATAACCAGGGCTTTTTTCCTCATAGAATGCCCAGAACAGAGTTCCGGCATCTTTTTTGGATGGAACCTTATAGGGTAGGCAAGGCGGGCTGTATGAAGTGTGTGAGTTCCGGCACCTTTTTTTTTTTTTAACAAAAACAGCACTGGCTATAACTATAAAGCCACCAGTTTTCCATCCCTTGGTTAGTCCATATCTGGAATTGGACAAAGTCTAAAAAAAGGAATACATCAGATTCTTAAAGATAAAGCACATACCTGCTCCACAGAGGAATGCATCATAGGCAGCCTCATGAGGACACTTATTTGTAGCTGAAAGGTTTTAAATGCAGAGAAAAGGTAAAGCTTCCCTGATAGTTTCCTGACGCTTTATTACATGAACAATCTAAAGTTTTCTTTTTAACTTTTCTATTGTTATTCTCATCCTACTTTTAAAAAAACATTAAAAAAATGTTGACCCAGTGGTTAAAATACAGTATTGCAGCCTAATTCTGCATTCCACTGCCAGGAGTTCAATTCTGATGGCTCAAGGTTGACTCAGCCTTCCATCCATCTGTGGTCAGTACAATGAGAACCCAGATTCTTGGGGGCAATATGCAGATGTTGTAAAAATGCCCAGAAAACGCTATAAACCACTATGGGCTGGAATATAAGTCTAAGTGATATTGCTATTGCTACACAAGAATTTTATTACAATCTAAAATCAGGATCCAAGATCATATCCTCCACTGGCAGTTTGGTTTGGTGCTTAATAATCAGGCAATATTCTGGACTTCCAGAAGAAGAAATGGCAGACAGAAGATGGTTCTGTTAAAAGGGGACCAATGCAAAGTGAAGATCTGTCAAGTTGATCAGCTCTCTGAAACCTCTTCAAAACAAGGAATTGACTTGAGATCACCAGCAAGAGCTGCAGACAGCTACTCCTTTTGAGAAGACCTCAAAAGATCAATCTGGTGGGTTTTAGAGCTCTGAGAGACAAGGGAATAGCCATCTTGTTCAAATCACAGACAGTGTCTTTGAAAAGAAGCAAAAGAAGGCATACTTCCTTTTCTAATCACTTTCAGAAATTGTTTATTAGCTGCTTTTCAAGTATTAGAAACCTTAGAATCAACGAATTTGATACCATCAGGTGACTTTTCTTTTATCCTTAGCAAAAGAAAGTTTTAACTACAAGTTTAAGAACTTAAAAAAATAATAAACAGCCAAACAAGTGATTGTAACTTTGAATTTAAAAAGTCACAAAAGGACTAAGGGCCCAGATATATTTGAAAAAAAGTTTTAGAATTAATTGTAAAGCATCTTTCTCAGGAAAAAATGCTTTTGTTTTGATTTTTTTTAAAATAAGATTTTAAAAATTGGATACTAGAGGAAACTAAAGATTACCAGTAAAGGAGAACACAAACTCGACTTACAATTACAGGATGAAGTGAAATAGTCTAGCATCAGACATACTGAAGGATATTTTTTAAAAATTGACTTAGAAATTAATATTAATAGTGTCAACAGAGACATCTGCCTTGAAGGAGAGGTCATGTCTAAAAGATGTTATGAAGGAGGAACAGGTTTTATCTGAGAAGAGCAACATTGAGTTAAAAGTGGATTTACAAATGACAGGCTACAAGAATGACATGGAAAAAGATGTTACACTAGACATAAAAGAAGCCGGCTGATATTTTAATAATTAGAAAGGATATATGAACTATAAACTAAGAGTAACCAGAATAATTTCTCTACTATGGATTTACAAAAAAAAAAATCTTGTGACAAGGGATAAAGAAAAAAATGAAAAGAAACAATGTTTTGCAAAATTATTTGAATGGACTAAAGAGTAAGGTTGTTAGAACTGAAAGTAAGGAATATAAAGTTGGTTTATTTGGTTAAAGTAAAGTTTATAAATGTAATTCACGGAGTAAAAATGGTTAAAAGATTAAAAAAGAAATGTTGATAAACAAATCTATAAATAATAAAGGGAAGAAAAGATTTGTTATATTTAAGAGGCGGTGATAAACTACTAAAAGTATTCATATTTGTTGTGATAAAAGTGGAAAGTCACTTCTTTATAAGTTTTTCTTTTTCTTTACTGTATTTTTACTTCTTTGCTTTTCTATTTTTCATTTTCCTTTCTTTTCTGTGTATTCTACTTTTTATTCTTTGTTTAGTTTTTTTTTACTTTTATAATTATAATCTTTAATAAAACTATTATTTAAAAAAGAGAAAGCAGCTAATAGTCACACTCTATTAAGTTGACCTTGCTATTCCTTACAGATAAGGAATAAGACAGCAACAGAACGGATAACTCTGTAAAGAGCTGAGGTGGCGCAGCAGTTAGGGTGCAGTACTGCAGGCCACTTTAGCTGACTGTGTTCAGCAGGTCAGCGGTTCAAATCTCACCGGCTCAAGGTTGACTCAGGCTTCCATCCTTCAGGGGTAGGTAAAATGAGGACCCAGATTGTTGGGGGAAATGTAAATATATATATACATTGCTTACTGGTGTACACCGCTTAGAGAGTGCTTGCACTTAAAGCAGTATATAAGTCTCATAAATAAATAAATAAATAAATAAACAAAGGGATAGCCGATACTCCCTTTCAAAGCATTCCTGAGTGTCTCTCCTGCAATGAAGCCAACTGAACAGTGTGACAGCTCTCAAATTTATGCCTATTAATATGATCTTTTCTTCAAGACTATGAAAAATCTCTTCAAACCAAGCAAAGGACATTATTTAGATTTACCAGTGATAATGGTTACCTGGTAAGAGTTTCATTCCAAACCAGACATACCGTATCTGAGGCAATCATCTGAGTGAAAGATCTCTGGACAAATCTGGTCTGTTGGACTCACAACACTGTTAAGAGGGAGAAATAATTTTTAGTCCCTGCATGTTTCTTTCTAACAATACTAATAATCTTCATTATCTGGCTTTTCTTCAAAAAAAACTAGGTGGACTTTTTTTTTATAAAATGAAGCAAGGAAAGACCAGTTGAATGAGTGAATGTATAGTATATGTGTATCCATTCTGCTAATGTTTTATTGTAGGGGTAAGAAACAGAATCAGGCCTAAAGACTCGCCCTCCTTTCCCCCAATGGTTGGGACAACATTTTAAGTTGGGCTTTGGGGAAGGCATCTGTCTCCCAATGAAATTCTACTGCTGCACAATCGCAACTTTCTTTTCTTTTCATGAGGGGTTCAATCCCTTCCTTTCTTCTCTCCTCTTCCACTTCCACTCATATGACTCCTTTGAAACAGAGAAATTGAGTGGGACTAGAATTTCTAGAATAGGCCTTCAGTGGTCAGATGTAAAGAACTCATACCACTATTTTATACTCTCCTGTAACTTCTTAACCACACCATTTATATAAACTTTCTATTATTAGAAACTATGCATATGTCAATCCTATAAAGTAGACCAGAATAAGAAACAAGCACTATGTAGGCCTAAAACTACTTTTGACTACAGGTCAAAATTGACTACAGCAGGGTTTACTGGCTGAGGAATTCTGGGAGTTGAAGTCCACAAGTCTTAAAGTTGCCAAGGTTGAGAACCCCTGGACTACAGTAACACAACCTTGCAAGTATGAACATGTTCTGCTCAATCCTATTTTGTCTATCATGTGAAGTTTGTGTGAGTGTCTGGACGGATGCCTGGCTGAGGTTTTATTGCCCCCAGCCCCCAAATCTAGGATCCTGCAACCTTTATCTCCATCAAGTATATATGTCTACAGTCTATAGATTTATGACCATGACATCAGCAAATTCTATAGATGGACTGACTTTAATGTTATCCTAAAATCTGCTGCTTGAAAGGACTACTTTACTGAGAACCACAAGACTTTTGGGCAAAACATTGGTTGTTTATTCCTCTTTCAAATGTCAAACTGAGCAACGTGCCATTTAGCTACGTCTAAATGAAGGAAATAGTGAAGATAGAGTACGAAAATAAAACACCATTTGATTCCTGGGGATTTTTACTAGAATTCAATGAAATGAAATAGTTATTAAGATTACTAATCATATATTTAGTGATAAAACAGGAAAGAGTTCAAGAAAGAGGCAAGTGGCTGACCTGCACAGCATTTCATACAACTCCAAAAGATAAGAAACTTGAGGAAACTGAAATTCCTGTGTTAAAGAGGGAAAAAAAGAAACAAAAAGCTTTTAGGTGCCATGGATATGAATCAATTGGCAAGACAGTAAGACTATGGAAGCCAGATGGAAGGTGTGAAACCCACTGGGTTTTGGAATTTTCTAATAATACTGTCCTCGGGGTCTTCCCCTTTTACCTTTGTTTTCCTATGAGGAAAATAAGATTATAACCCATTTTACTATTAAATTTCTATCCTCTAAACGCAAGACCCTTAAATAAGCTTGGAATTTACATGCCCCAGAACTGATTTAACGTATGTTTATACTAGTTCCTCTGAAAATACACCTCATCTTCATCAGCTATCCCTCCCAAAAACTGGAAACCTGAGAAAATAGGATCCTATGCTGAAACTCAAGAAAGGACAGCTCTACTCCTGCCTCTACAATGAGGATAAGTATTAACAATGATCTTAGCAGCCCACACTGTTGAGATCAGTGTGCGGAACTTACAAAGCTGCCCTCAAACTGGGGTATAAGCACTGTCACTCTGAGCCTGAGCCAGTGGTTACATGCTTCCAATTAATTTTCAAAAAAAGAAGTTTCTATTTACTCAGCCTTAAAGTATACAACTTTTAATAAATGCAATACTCAGGTTCCTCAGGAACCTATTAACACTTTCTTCAGGTTCCCACAGCACTGGGTTCAGAAAACATATGAGGAAAAGGATCAGAGGTCAGCAAGTCCTGCCATCTATTACTTCCACTTAACTCTGGGATCAGTGCTGAACAATGAAAAACAACAGACTTTCTTGCTTTTTATTAAAAGGGGGAAAGGACTATATGCTCATTTATTTGAATAAATTAAAATATTTAATTTGAAAGAAAATGTAATATATAAGTGACAGAGCTTGATCTATTTAGTCTAACAGTCCAGGACCATTCACTTTATGCCAACGGCACTTTATTGCCTCACGCAAGTGTGTGTTTTTTTTTTCAGCCTCAAACTAAGATACTTCAGCCATTTAATCTGGGAAATTAAGCATACTTTTAAAAACAAAAAACAAAACGGAAGAATTGAACTACAGTCCCTCACTTTGAGAGGAAGAAAGAATTGCAGATGAAAACAAGCTGGAACGTTTTTAATTGTGCTAGAGAATGACAATTACCTTCCACGTGGCTTTGGCAATGTTCTTCGTATCCAAAAGAACAGGAAACAGAAAGTGAAGGTTATCTTTGAATTCTTCATACTTTTCTGAAAATTGTTAAGTAAAAAAAATGGGAAAAGGAGGGAGAACAAATTACAAGTAGTCCTCGACTTACAATCAGTCGATTAATGACTGTTCAAAGTTACAAAGGAGCCCCCCTAAAGGAAATTATGACTTGGTTCTGAAATTCCAAAGGCTGCCCTCCATACGGCACATGGTCAGCAACCAGCCTGCATTTACTTCTAGTTTTCAGCAAAAAACATCCCACAGAACAGGGGTCCCCAACCTAGGCCGTGGACTGGCACTGGTCCGTAGCGCTCCAAGAACCAGTCCACACAAGCAAGCAGAGCCCATCCATACTCACGCAGGATCCAGGCAGCATGCAAAACCATGCCCCCCCCCCAGGCCATGGAAAAACCACCTTCCACAGAACCAGTCCCTGGCACCCAAAATATTGGGGGGGGGGTGCTGCCATATAGAACAATGGGTTCACTTAACAACTGTGATGATTTGTTTAAAAAAGGGTTGTAAAATTGGACTGGTCATGTGGGTGACCTGCTTTACGACCACCAAGACTTATGACCATAATGGGCAGACTCCATTATGGTTATAAATGGAGGACTATCTGTAATGCTGGCTTGTAAATTTATTAAGCTAATGTCTAATTAAACTTGCAAGAGACCAAACTGTACCAGTTCTTTTCTAATAGCAAAGATAAAGAGCAATTGCTTAGAGCTGAAAGAGGGATACAATAGATCCTATACGACTGTTATTCGAAATGGCTTTACCAGGAAGGGGTTTGTAAAATTTCTCATGTAGATAGAGGAGATCCATCAGCATGTTGTGTCCCACCAGCGGCTACAGAGAGCGGAAATAAAAACAAAACAAAGCAACACTCTGTAAGATTGTCAGTATATCATTGTGGTTCTGCACTGCTGCTTTAAAAACACTAAGTGCAATTTGCTTGCCAGGGCTATACTTTGTAAAGGGCAACTTTCCAGACCCAGGAACAGACTGATTGATTATGTGTGATCAAATTGGTGTCAGCTTTTAGAATTTTTTTTTCTAAAAACAAAAAAAAAGCATTTATTCAAAAGCAATGGGATACACTTTGCAGGCAAGCCTCTCTGCCTTGGAATACTTAGCAAGTGTGTAAGAGACATCCTATGTACAATCTTGCTGGATAGAAGAAGCTTCTAGTTTAGTTTTCCTTTTGCAAGCAGCTTTGACCTTGGAATATGCATTTGAAATCAGGAAGGCTCCCATCTTAAGCCTTACATTGCTACTGTATATAATTATATATTTGGAAATGCATTCAAATCAACTCCATCACAACTGAGAGATTGCTAGATATGTGACTTGGAGCCCATATATACTTATTATGAATGAGGTTTAAGGCATAAGAATTCTGTCTTTACCAGTGAATTAGGAAAAAAAGTGTTGTATTTACAGGTAGTCCTTGCTTATCAACTGCCTTGCACAAGCGATCAAAGTTACGACGGTGCTAAAAAATATTTTTTTTTGTAACCAATCCTTGCATCTACAATCGTTTCAGTGCCCTGTGGTCATGTGGTTACCATTCAGCTGCTCTGAAATTGGCATGACCATAATATGACCATAATATCCCTCAATCATGTGACCAGTACTCACATGTATTTTTGCTTCCAACAAGCAGGTAATGCAGAACATAAATAAAGCAACGGAAATAAAGCAAGTAACGCAGAACATAAATAAAAGAACATAAATAAAATCGTAAGTTGTGATCATGTGATTTTATGCTTAGCAACCACATTGCTTCACTTAATGACCAAAAGGGAAAATAAGGCTGAAAGCCCACTTGTGGTCATGAGATTTTCTGCTTCGTAACCACATTACGTAGCAACTGAGTGGCCAGTCCTAATTACAGGTAATGCTCAACTTAATAACATAATCAGGAGCAGAATTTCCATTGCTAATCAAGTGGGTGATTAAGTGAATCACACCCAGTGTTAGGACCTTGTTTGAAGGGTCCTTGGGGCTTTCTGCGTTTGGCTTGTTTCCTTCCTAGTTCATTACCCAAACTAGATAACATCATCCATGCTAGTCCAACCTTGATTGCAGTGGTTATTAAACAAATCACTGTACTTGTTAAGTGAATCGCACAGCCATTCAGCCAATCCAGCTTCTCCCATTGACTCTGCTGGTCAGATGCCAGCTGGCAAGGTTGCAAATGGTGGTCACATGACCCTGGGATGCTGCAGCCATCATAAATACCTGTTGGTTGCCAAGCGCCTGAATTTTGCTCATGGGACCATGGGGGGAGGAGTGCTGCGATGGTCATAAATCACTTTATCAGTGGTGTTGTGACTTTGAAATAAATGGTTGTAAGTCGAGGACTACTTATAATATCATAAACAGGTTAATCATTTGCCTTAACAATATGCAACTAATGATACTTGAAAATTGCCTGTAAAGTAAAAGTGTGTGCAAAGGAAGCCCCGGGGTTGCATTCAGCTCAAGAACACCAATCTTTCGGAATGACTTTAAAAGTTACTACCAAATTTTAATCTGATAGAAGGAAAAATAATTCCATAAAAAAACCCAGATCTATAGGCATGCAAAATTTAAATTAATTTTAAATGTAAATAAAAGAAACTTTAACTTTGTCCACCCTTTCTAGAGCCTGACCTTTGGAATACCGTGTAAAAGTCAATTGTAGGTTTTAGCCAGGAAAGCCTGTCCATTCCTGTTATAGTTTCATGTAACGACAATAATTTTGCACATCTTGGAAACACCATCGCTGGAGAATGTGGCAGTTTAACAATATATTCAAACTGAAAATTAATTTCCACAACCAAAACATGGGATCCAGCGATTTCACCAACAAGATTTCAAGGTTATTCTAAATCTTGTGGAATGTATGTGTCCTACACATGTGAATATAGGACAAACGCATCCTACTCATGCCGGCAGAGAAGGCCTACTATGGATCCCATCAGTCAAAGAACTCCGACTATCAGGATCCAGAAGAACAGCCTTCTCTGCCAGGGGACCCACCCTTTGGAACATCCTACCTTCTAGGGCAGTGATGGTGAACCTTTTATAGACCGAGTGCCCAAATTGCAACCCAAAACCCACTTACGTATCGTTTGGTGCGAGGTGGGTGTGGCCCATTGGGTGGGTGTGGCTGCGGTGGTAACGGCAGACTGGGTGGGATTAAAAAGTTCAATCAATCAATTCCAACTTTGCGAGATCTTTTTTTTTCCCCACGAGAAGTTGAAATTGATGGATTGAAAAAAAATTTTTTTGCACATGGTGGCAGAGGCCTAAAGCGAAACGATTTTATAAAACCCAGCTGAAGGCCTAGGACCGGGGCGATGGCGAGCATGCCCACAGAGAGGACTCTGAGTGCCGCCTCTGGCACCACGGTTCTAGGGTAAGTTCTGATCCCACCCTCCTGTCCTTCCACAAGAGCCTGGCTCTGCCAGGTGGCCTGGAAACCCAATGGGGGAGTTCCAGGCTGTAGGTAGCTGCTGGATTAATGGCAGACTCCACCTTCCTCCCCCCTTGCTCTCTGCTCCCCAGATGTCCATCTTTTTTGGTTATATATGGACGTATTCTCACTGTTTTCTTTTTCATTGTTTATTTTATTGTTCTATTATTTCTGTTTTGTTGTCACTCATTTCATTTCTTCCTTTTTATTGTTGTAAGCCATCTAGAGTATCCCCAGGGCGAGATAGGCGACAAATAAATAATAAATATTCTGTAGCTCAGGTTTATATCATGAATGAACTTTCTAACAGAAAACTGGGCTTTACCTTCTTAGCTCTCACAAGTGTCTGAAAAATATTGGTGAAGCCCCTTGCGGAAAAAAGAATTTGTTCTCTTTGACATGGATCAAAAGCAGTATTTTCCAGGACCCAGCGGTATTGTGGATTCATCTTTTTCACCATCAACTAAGAAATAAGGACAGCAGTTATCAGTAACTCATTCTTTCATTACATCTGCCTGGGTAAATGTTTAATACACTCAGCCTTTTTAATTTTGAAAACACACATTTGTCTGTTATGTGAAAACAATACCTCCATGGCAAATTCCATTACTTTCTACTCTTCTTCAATCCTTTTCTTTCCCTGTTCTACTTATCTGTTTTCATTTCATGCTAGTTGGTATCAGGGTTAAATCAAGTTCCATTTGTCCAGTGACATGGGTCCCAAAAACTCTTTATAAAATTATACTGCAAATTTTCTCTTAAGACAATCACTTCCTTTATTATTCTTGTATATTTCAAATAGTCGATTGTTTCAATATTCAGTATTTTCACTTCATTTTCCATAAACACTTATTCATTTAACATTCCATAATAACATTTGTTATTTAAAAAAACCCACTCCTAATACAATTTCTAGAATTATTCGTAAGTGGACATTTCCTTATTGTTCCTTAACAATTAGGCAGAATCTAAATGTAACTCTAATAGCTAATAGAGAAGTAATTTACGTAATTTCCAGGGCTATGTCACAAACCAATTTTGTTCTGTGCCCAGTGATACTTCAAGCCTAATTTAACAATTACTTTTGTATAATCCCAACTAAACATTGGTCAGAAATCTCAATGTTGCAAACATGGAAACCTGTTCAATGGCAGGAACAGATTGATTTTGAGGATATTAATACATATATCAATCTTACCTTAATACCCTACAATATTAAACTCACTTTTTCATCTTCCAAAGGAATAGTCCAAATATCTGGAAAAGCTTTTCTTAGAATGAGCTGTAGTTCAATCACTTGAAAGCCTGTAAGAAAAAGTATAAATAGCATAATGGAAAGTTGAAAATAGTATAATTACGACATGTTTTTCTATGACTAAAAAGGTTTTTCAGCCTTGCATTAAAACATTTTAGTGAGAAACGGATCGCAGTCATACAACTGAGAGATGAGAAAACACCAAAGAAAAATGTTAACAGAACATGAGAAACACAAATAAGAATATAATAAAGACTCATATCAATAGAAATGAGATTCATACAAATTTTCTTATCCTTTTTTCAGTATATTATTATGATTGGTCGCACAATCAACCAAATGTTTAGACTGGATCTGGCATTTTTATTCACCCCATTGAGTCCTTCCCAAGGCCCTGGGATAGGCCAATGTTGTTGTTTGAAGGTGTTAAAGGTATCATCAAGATACATTTGTAAGCTGTTCCAAGTAAAGTTGCCTTTCACAATTGACTGATGGCGATTTTGTCAATGCCAATGGTGCTAAAGTGGTGCTCCAGATGTTTTGAGATTGCACCCAAGGTGCCAATTACTATTGAATATTTTTGCTTTCTTTTGCCATAGTTGCTCTACTTCTATTTGCAGGTCGTTGTGCTTTGTAATTCTTATGGTTGGTTGCATAGCTAGCCAAATGTTTAGAGTTGACATTTTTATCTACCTATCAAGTCATATTACACACATATTAATAGCTATAGCTCCCTGTAGTAGAGTCTCTCATACCACGCTACCAATATGCACACCCCTGAAAGAGAAAAATTCTGTCATGCACATTAAGACAATCACCCACCACCACCCACCTGGAGAAAAAAAAAATTTTTTGAGTTTGAAAGAGAAATGGACAAAATATCAGAAAAGTCTCTGAATCAAGGCTGGGAAGGAAGAGAGAATTTACCATTCCCCCCCCCCCCAGCCTATTTCAAATTTGAAAGCAAAAAAAGAATTCAAGATAAAAAGGGATTTTGCTTCTGTAGAAATGGTTAATACATTTTAGCCAGGAATCTATACCACATTCTTGGCTTATATTCCTGTGTTGTGCTAAAGTCTGAATATTTTTTACTTCTCTGTACCGCTTAAAATAATTCCTATATTTATGCATTCTGAAGGCATGTCCAAAATAAATCCTTGCTTTCTCCAGGCTAGTACTTCTCAAAGTGTGGTCTGGGGATCAGATCCTTTCAAGACCTTTCAGGTGGTCTGCAAAGTCAAATAAGTAAATAAATAATTTAAAATTCTCAGGTTTAATTTCTAACACAATAAATATTGATAGATCTAATGCAAATAAACCAAAGCTCTCTGGGCTCCTCAATCATTTTTAAGAATGCAAAGAGGTCCCGAGACCAAATTGTTTGCTGTAGAGTATCCTTGGGAACTGCAATATTCTCTTTGCTTATTCTAGACCAGAATCAACTTGTGGTCTACCCATAATATTCTATTTCTGTTAGGGATGTTTTTTTGTTTTCCTAAATTTCTATTTTTTTAAAAAAATATTTAACTTTAAATTATGTTTACATTTTATCTTTCCTTCCTTTTAAAAAATAAAGTTAGATTTTGTTTCTCTCTTATGGTTTAATTCCTAATGGGCTGTGTGGGGGAAGGACTGAATCCTTTAGCCCATTTGCATGCTCTATGGCCACAAAGTGGCTTTGCAGATATAAATTAAATTAATTTATATTAATATAAAATACTAATAAATTAATAAAAATAAATTAATAAATTAAAAACTTTTTAATTTTTATCTCTGAAATACATTTGTCTCACAGTCTAAAGTTGGGATAGGAAGCCAGCTGAGACAGTTGCTGAAAGACAGGTGGTGGAAGAAGAACGATAAAGATGCTATCAAGAATTATAATGATAAATTTGAATTTGATTGGGGAGTTAAGTTATAAGAAGATTATCTTTGCAAGGGATACCATAAAGCAAATCAATCTGCAAAAGTCTTTATTACATATCGTTCAAATGGTTTGAAACTATAATTATCCCCTTTAAATTGAATACATCTAACTTGAAATTATACTATGATACAGCCACCTTAACTTGGACAAGTGATTGGCTTAATTTAACAAATAAGGATATTCTTGTTCTTGAAGGGTGGGATTTAATGTATGGTTGGCATGCATATTTAATTTTTAATAAGAAAGTGGACCGGGCTTTCAAATCACATATTTTGAGGAGTGCCTTACTTCGAGTTTGGAAAAAGTATTATTATAGGTTAAACTATAAAATACCTATCTGGGGGATTCCTAGACATGCAATTGAGGGGATTTCTAAGGGGATGAACTTTGATAAAATTTCGTATAAAGAATTATTAACTTGGTCAGGTTCGGATTGGCATTTAAAATCTCTAGATGTATTAAGGCAAGAAAATATTCTACAGTCATGGTTTCAATATTTACAAATAGTGGACAGGTGGACTGTAGATAAGAAAGAAGGAATAACACTAGAAGATGGAAATCTGGTTATTCAGATTAAAGATCAGAGTCAGGCCCATATAAAAAGAATTTACAATGCTTTAATAGAATTAGACTCTGAAACAGAATTGGTTAAATACTGTATGATTAAATGGGCTCAGAATATCCAGGATCCAATCCCATTGGACTTATGGGAGACAATTTGGATTAGAAATGTTAAATTTACACAAAATTTGTGTAAAATTTGAAGGAAAATTTTTATAAAATGTTTTACAGATGGCATTTAGATCCTAAAAAATTATCTTTTTTTTTTTTTTAAATTGAAAATTTTTACATTTTACAAAAACAAATCCCCTTCCCATACCCCCCCCCTACCTCACCCCCCCCCTTCCCAACCTCCCAAACCCTCCCCTGGACTTCCCAGAGCTGAGTACAGGCTTAATTAAAAAAAAAACTTAAAACACTTTTAAAACCTAAACAAATTTAAATACAATCATCATTCTATATAAGCTCCCTCCAAAAACACAAATTTAAACATTACTTTCTTTGAATATCTATATCTATAGTATAAAATCTAATTTCTCCCTCTTTATTTATCCTAAAACGAAAAAATAAACATACAAATCTTTGTTATACCATTAAAGCTAAATACTCTTAAAGAACTTAAAGTAAGTACATATTTCCTTCAATCTTCATAATCTTCTCTCCTATCCAAAAAGAAAAAAACTTAAAAAACCTATAAGTCCTAAACAAATCTAAGCACATTTAATTAAACAAATTATTTTCTCTTAAAAATATTAATAATAATATTTAAAAACTAGAAACACTTTTAAATCCTAAACAAATCTAAATACAATCATCACTCTATATAAACTCCCTCCAAAACCACAAATTTAAACATTACTTTCTTTCCTAAACAAATCTAAACATTTAATTAAACAAATTATTTTCTCTTAAAAATATTAATAATATTTAAAAACCAAATTTAAGCATACTTAAAACTTGAACAAGTTATACTCCCTTCAAAACACAAATTTAAACATTACTTAAAATTTAAAACATTAGAATCCCCTCACTAAAATAAGCAAATTATAATCCCTTCAAAACACAAATTTAAACAATATTATCATTAAAGGTTCAAAACTTAAAACAACAAAATTAATAAACACATTAAACATTTCAATCTTCACCAATAACAAATTCCATCCGTAAGAAACTGCATCCTTATCAGTCTCAATTATATTAGTATTATTAATTATTCACATTCCAGTTTTTTCCATTCTCCATTCTTCCATTCTTCCATTTCCCTTCTCCATTCTTGTATCAAACTCGTAAGAAATGCTGCAAGTTCTGCCTTAGGAGACTGCTCCAAAATTCCTGAATCTCCCATCGACTCCGAAGCCAATAAGGGTTCCTTGAATTCCTCCTTGTATTGGTCTTTACAATTGTAAGTTGTACAAGTTATCCTCTGCCCGTTCCTCTCTTGTTGATGCCCCTCAAACTGAGATTTCCCAATTTCCATTTCAGGCAGCAATTCCACCCTTAAAGATTGCTCCAAAGACTTTGTAGGTCTAACATCTCCCAGAGATTCAGAAACCACTGAGTATGAAACTTCCTTAACCTTCTTCTGTTGCTGCTTTTCTTTGGAATTATGTACTGCACAAGTTGTCTTCTGCTCCTCAACCTGGACTTGTTGAGGCCTCTCACACAAAGATTCTCCAGTTTTCATAAATATAGGCTCTTCAAACTGTGATTCTACATTCTTTTCTTCCAAAGCTTTAAACTTAATAGATGGCGATGCACATACCCCCAGGACCGAAGTATAAAAATCTTTTGCTTGAGAAACAGTATTAAGTCTATAACATGTCCCCAGGTAATTCACCACCATTCCAGTCGGAACATCCCATCTGAATAAAATTTTTCTCTTTTTAAGTTCATTTGCTAGAAAAGCAAACTCCTTTCTTCTTCTTAAAATTTTAGATGGGATCTCTTTAAAAATTATAACATCTTGTGAAGCAATTTGAAATCTCTTCTTATAATAGGCTTGCACAATTTCATTGCGTAAAGATCTTTTACCAAAGTAAATTACCACATCTCTTGGCAGATTCTTCTGTGCTGCCACCACAGAGTTAACCCTAAATAATTTTTCAATTTCACTAAGTATTCCCTCTTTTTCTTTATTCAAAATCAATGCAAAGTCCTTTGCAACCATCTCCTTCAGATCTCCTTGCAAAGACTCTCCCAGGCCTCTAATTCTTAAGGCATATTCCATTTGTCCATATTGAAGCATAAGAATCTCATTTTCCATTTCTTTTTCCATACTTTCAATTTTCCCCTCCATTATGTCCACTTTTTCAGCTACCTCTTCCACATGGGAGTTCACCTTTTCAAGAACAGAAGCAACACCTTCTAAAGCCAAAACAAAATCTTGTCTCAAGATCTTATTGTTTTCCTCTAAAATCTTTTTCATTTCTGCCCTAATTTGAATTATAACATCTCCCATCATGTCTTGCAAATCCTTCATAGTTATTAGCTGACCCCCAGAAGAGGGTGAAACTGTTGATTTAGAAACTGTAGAAATCCCTGGACGCTTTGGAGCCATCTTAAAGAAAAACCTTTAGTCCTTCTTAAAAAATTATAAAAATTCCTTCAAAAATCATAACTCCCTCCAAAGAAGGTCATTATAATAAAAAGAAAAAAGGGAAAAAAAGGAAGAGAAAAAGAATTAAAAAAAAGTTTTACTCCTTCTTAAAAATTGCAAAAAATTAAACAGAAAAAAGTCCTTCAAAAAAGGGTCATTACAATAAAAAGAAGGGAGTTCAAAGGAAAAAAAAAAAGGGAGAAGAAAAAAAAATAATTAAATAGAAAAAATTCCGGTGGATTTTGCGCGCGTGATGGCGGCTACTTTGTAGCCGTCCTCCTGGGTAAGTGTAAGAACCGCTATGAACAGCAGACATCAGCTGTTCAGCGGTTCAAAATCCCCCTCCCGGGCAAAGGGGGGGGGTAGAGAGTGTCTGAATAGTGGTAGAGCCTCTTTTGCACCCCCCAAGTTTTTTGGGGGGGGTGAAAGGAGTGCTCCCACGGAGTTCAGACTTGTCTCCGCTTCCCAGCTGTTTTTGTCCTCAGGGACAAAACGAGCCGCTGCAAACACCTCCGTGCTTAAAGAGAACTGGTGAGTTTTTTTTTTTATAAACGGACAGAGCTGAGTAGAGGATTTAGTTTTTGCTTTCTTTGACTTATTTGGATTTTAAGTTTTAAGACTTGTTTCTATTTTTATTCTCTCTTTTTATTTTTCTTTCTTTGTTGAAAGGGAAAGTAAAATGGCGATCGGCAAACTCCTCGGTGTTTTTTTTTCTGGAAGTTAGAATGCTGACCGGCAGGCTTTTTGGTGTTTTTCTTTCTTTCCTTTCCCTTTCTCTTTTTATTTCCTTATGATTGGAATGGTTGTTTTTGGCATCTCTAAGTATTTTTTTTGGAAAATTATCTTGTATGTATCCAAATTTACAACCCAAATGTTGGAGATGTGATAATATGGATGCGACATATTTTCACGTTTGGTGGAATTGTAAAAAGGTAAAGGCTTTTTGGATTATGATTTGGTGGAACATTCAAAAGATTTTTAAAAGGAAGATAAAGTTCACCCCTCAATTATTCCTACTGGGTATCTTGTGGAGTTAAATGACAAAGAAACTACTTTAATGTTGAATTTATTAACTGCAGCAAGGTCATTAGTAGGCTCGTATTGGAAGAAGGACTCGTTGCCTACTTTAGAAGAATGGATATTTAAAGTTTCTAACTTTGCAGAAATGGCAAAAATTTCTGCTTATTTGAAGGATCTTACACAAGAAAGATATATTATTGTATGGAGAAGATGGATAGATTATATTCAGAAAAAATATGGGACTATAAAGTTTCATTTATTTTATGAGTAAATTTTATAGTAACTGTTGTAGAGATTTGTTTATATGACTTAATTTAAGGGGAGTTAAAGGTTAAGTATGATGTTTTTTTTCTTTTTTTTTCTTTTCTTTTTTTATTATTGTTAACTTTCTTATTAATAACCCTGTACTCTGCTCTGGGAAGCGAGGGGGGGAGGGTTGAGGGTGGGTGGGTGGGTGAGTGGGTGGGTAATGATAATATAGTCATGGTAAATGCTTGGGCATTTCCCCTATGCTGTGTTCATGTGTGTGAGATGGATGAGAGGGGAGGAAGGAGTAGGGAGGAAGTAGGATGGTTAGAGAAGGGGAGGGGAAGAGAGTAGGAGGGGAGGAGAGAAAGAGGAGGGAAGTAGGGAAGGATTAGAGAGGATGGACGCGGCCTGGGGGGAATGGGCAGGCGGTACCAATGGTTAGGAATTTATTTTAATTGAATTGTATTTTGTATGAATAAATGGAAAATAAAAACTTTTTAATAATAAATTGAATACTGCTCCCTAAAAGAACAATATAAAAAAGATTTTCAAGGCACCAATAAAGAACTTTAAAAAATGAAAGGATCTTAATTAATTCATACCATATACATCCTGCAGAACCACAGAATCTTCCTCTTCTGCTGAGGATATCCAACAAGTTACTTGATCAATCACTTTTTTCACTTTGTCTTTATCAAAACTACAGTAAACAGAGTAAGAAAATTAAATGATACTATTCTCCAACTCAGCCTTTCCAGTACCTTCAGCTTCTCAGAAAATTAACTCTATTTATCAACCATAAACCCCTAGAAAGGCCCAGCTTCTCAGTAAGATGCTTTCTAGAAGCCAAACAAATAACAAATTATGCCCTATAATGGCCATACATTTAGTGGTCAGATGGAATGGTAATAGATACCAATGTTCATACAACAAAATGCCTTCACAAATGCTTCACAATCTTTATTAGTAGCCTAATTACTTTTCTTGAAGTAAACAATTAATAAAAATGCTATGTATCTGCCATGGAGAAGACTGAATCCACCTCTAGCAAAATTGTAACAAAAAGGAGGACGGAGCAGATAAGGAGTAGGAAATGTATGAGTAGTGAGCTGCCTAATGCAGCATAAAACATATACTGAAGATGAGAAGAATAGATGCTGTGAATTTGAAGTTACATAAAGGATAACAGCTCACAAGACTAGAGAAGCAAAATGGCTATAGACATGTGAGAAGGAACAAAGACAAAAATTCGGGAAGAATGGAAGACAATTAAAGAAGACTGTGAGGAGGCAGTGTCTGAAATTAAGGCCATGGGTCTTTTATTTATTAGGGAATTGCTTTTTAATTTATCCTAAGGCCCACCAATAATTCTACCAAATAACCTGCATCTCATACAATATAAACAAAACTTTTTCAAAGAAGGATTTCTGTATGTTTAGAGGCCTCATGTTAATCATTCACATTTTAAAGATTTTAAATGACTTAACCTAAGTCTCACTTAGACTATTTCTGAATTTCGGTTCTTGTAAAGTGCCATTGGTTGACAGCCACTGTTCTAAGAACAGAATCCTGTCACTCCAATTACTTAAGTGCATAAAGAAGCACAGGAGAAAAAAACCCAACATTAGTATAGAAACCATAGTGTGGAAGAGGTTTACCTTTGGACCATCCAATTACCAGATAACAGATGCTGAAGTTTCTTCTCTTGTGTTTCATTCATATAAGGGATTCCATCTTTAAGAAACTAAAGGCAAATAAATAGCAATACATAGTATGGAATTCAGGCATCAAGATTGTTTTCTCCTGACTTAAAAGAAAATCATGTACCAGGGTAAGTCAACAAAAGTAAAGGTTCTCTTAGTTTGGCTTCTAATAACTACGTGGACATATTCATGTATTAAATCATAAGGTATTCATTAAAAATTCAAGATTAAAAAAACAAAAAATGAACTCTTTATCAACCACTTATACTGTGTTGATAAGCACAATTCATCCTAGGGTCAAGTAATCTGATAAATTAAAGTGTTGCAAGCTGTGGATTGACAAAAAGTGTGGAGGAAGAAACCATTTTCACAATAGATCATAACAGCATAAAATTGTATATACATATACCAATCAAAAAGGCTGGTCTAAATTATTCTACTTAGAATGATAGACAATTAGTAGACTTAGAATCCTTAAAATCTTTTACCTACCATGCTAACCTTTCCATTCCTTACTAACCTCTACCCTACATTCACCATGGTCTTTTGGGGAAAAATGTTGATGAAGATTCTCAGTCATTTAGGTAGTTTCATGACAAATGGACTTTTCTTTTTTAGTTTGAAAGGTTTCACTGCTTATCCAAATAGCTTCTTCAATTTGAAGAAGTTACTTGGATAAGCAGTGAAATACTTCAAACCAAAAAAGAAGTCCAGTTGCCATAACTCAACTTCCAGACATCTTTCTGGGAAACTGGCCAGTTACAAATCCTACTGAGGAGTCTTGATCAAATGCTGGATCTTCTTGCTCCTGAAACAGGAGCCCTGCTCTGACCTCACATAAAGAATGAAGCAATTCAAGGAGCCCTCAGATACTGACAGTGATAAAAATTAACTATCTATATCAGGGGTGTCAAACTCCCAGCCCATGGGCCAGACACGTCATCCGGAAGCCGCACCCACCCCATTGCCAGCAATGGCAAAACCGTCCTGATACATTGCACGACGTCCCGTGACATCGCGAGTTTGACATGTCTGATCTATATCATTCAAGTGGAAATTAAATGTTGAAAATATATTTTATTATACTGCATTTCAATAGCATTTTAAGGGCAAAATCCAAATCTAGTTTCTTTCCTACTTAAACTTCTTTCTACTCTATTAAATAACATAAAATATACCTTGTTATAGTCAAAGCCATAATGAGACAGGAACTGAATACTAGATGCTTTGCAGGAGAACTCAGAATCCATTTGGCCAAATGTGGCAGGGAATAGGAAGAAGTTATATGAATGCACAATATACCTACAAAAATTAACCAAAATAATTAAGGCTAATAACTGGCAGGGAAGATCCGAAAGTTATCATCAGGTAAATATAATTGACAATAAAACAATTTACTTACTCATTTGACATCCCCTTGCAAAATATGGACAAACCTAAAAGAAGAAAAAATGCAGTTGCATGTGCAGCAATATGCTGATCACAGGGTCTCCTTTGTTTTTGTTTTTCCAACTTCTATGTTAACTAGCATCTTCAGGGATGGGTTGTGGATCAGTCCCCTTTGTATGTATCACTGGTGGCAAACCTATGGCACGCGTGCCAGAGGTGGCACTCAGAGCCCTCTGTTGGCACGTGCGCCACCACTGCCAGCAGCAGGTCCATTAGGCCGCCACTGCCACCCAGAGCAGGAGCCCCGTCCAGCACAAAGGAGGTGAAGAGTCTGACTAGCAAACTCAGGTGGAGATGATAAAGCAGAGGTCACCAACCATTGTCCATTGGTGGACTGGAAGAAAAGGGAGGGGGAAGCGTTTTACATGCGTGCATGCGCGCACGGGTCTGCGAGCACGCACGCACTGCAAATGGGGCAGCGCTAGTGCCTGCATGATACTCACTAGCCCTGCCCCGTTCTTGTGTGGTGCAGCACCCTTGTATCTGCACCCCGTGGCGTGGTCAGCAACCGTTTTTGTGCCTTGCAGCATGGTTGCCCATTTTTGTGTCCCCAGGTTTTGCGTGCCAGAGTGGCACTCAGAGGTGCCTATCTGCCACCCCCAAGGGCACCACAATGCTGATGTGACCCTGGCACCTTGCGAAAAATAAGTGGGTTTTGGGTTGCGATTTGGGCACTTGGTCTCTAAAAGGTTCGCCATCACTGGTATATATCATCAGGTATGTTCTATTTGGGAGCAAATGTGTTGGTCTTATATGTAAGAGATTTGTGAATCAACATCTTGGGTGGATGTGGGGTTGGTTTGTCTACCATGAGCCTTCACAGGAATTGCTTGCTCATTCATACACTCTTATACTGTAGATAGCAAAATTTTCCTCTGAGTTTCTTTAATACATTTGAGAAAGAGGAAATGTATATAATATGTATTCTTTTAGGATAAAAACAAAAAAAAGTTTTGAGAAATTAAGGTGACCTTGAAAGGGATTTTGTTTCAGATAATATTTCTAAATTTTGACTGCGACATTTTAAGCTATCATAAAAGCTATCTTTTGGAAACTAGAAGAGCTCACCAAGTTGATTCACTGTAAACCGCTGAACACTCTGTCTGGCTTTCCGATACCACTCAGCAGGTAAATCAAACAGACTGGGGAAAAGAAAGATATGAAGGATTTCCATGTTGTTCATCATGTTCCTAACTTCTATGGGGACATCACTAGAAAATATATTTATTTCAACAAGCTTACCTAGGCTGCCTGTCAGAATACAAACCTGTGAATTCCATATCAAGGCCTGCAAAAGACAGAACACGTGCCTTTCACTATTATTACAGGATGGATACAAAGTTTTATTTAATTCATATATCTCAATCTTACACATGTAGGTTTTTATGCTAGTCATAATTCATATTGAATATATTAATGAGTTGGAAATATATAGATGTAGTAGTTAACATGCTTCTAAACTTTAAAACAGGGATTCGGGGATTTCTTCATGATCTATTGTGCAAGATGCTTACAGCTGCAATCCTAGTTTTTGAAAGCATAAGATTTTTTAGCTTCCCCCATTTCAATAACTTTCTCATCACTCTGAGACTATGAAATCCAAGTGAAGTCGAAAGAAAGGTGCTAAGAAGAAGCAAAAAGCCAACGGATTACCCACTACTATAGCAGCCTTCTAACTTGTTCCAAATTATGAAGTAATTTAGATATTATTTTTGCAAACTCGAGAGATGTAAACATTTATGATTGTTCAGTAAAGTGAACAATATTTTAATGCACCACACAGATTTTTGTCTATCATCTGCAGTATCTTCTCACCTATCATATTCTATAGTAATGCATTTAATATACTCTTCAATGTGCTTTATATCAGTTGGACCAAATTCTTGTGTTCACATATTTGCTAGTGCTAAGTATTGATACTATGTCTTTATAAGTCAATTTTAAATATTAGCAACACTTCTATTATAAGAGATAAGATTCAGATATGGAATGCCATAGAGAAGTAAGGGTGCCAGATCCGAGTTCTTCAAATAATCACACTATGGAAAAAACATGACTAAAGAATTTTACTGGGGAATACTAAGTGCAAACTTTACAAATTTGGAGAAACATATTTGCCCTGGGAAATAACTTATTTAAAACTATGAAACAAGGCAATGTTTTTGCTCCTCTTGCACAAAGTATCACTGTACTCATTTAGCATAATCCTGGAAGCTTTCTTAGAATTAAATGCTTAAAATACTGTTAGAGAAATACTGTACTGATCTTACTACAACTCTCAAAATCCCGCATTGGCTAGGATGGAAATAAAAGAGCTCTGCAATGATTATGACCTTTCCAAAATCAGAAGGCATAATCTATAGCAACATATGGATACCTATTTTCATAAAACTCATCACACTTGCATACAATCTTCTCCTTATATCCTTACCACAACCCTGTAAAGTAAGTTGAGATCATGATTGTGATCATCAGCTCCATCAGCTATTTAACAAACCACACCTGTATGATTTACAAAATCATTGTGTATAAATTATACTGGTTGGCTGGGTATTTTATTTTCCATTCCATATATAATCTTTTGCCTCCATAACCAACTGTCGAATCAAAGGGCCAATTCACAGTGGTGGGATTCAAATATGTGAACAACCGGTTCTCTGTGTGGATGCCACTTCCGAAAGTCCATTCTGGGCCTGGGCAACCAAAAATTAGCCACCGGTTGTGCCGAAGTGGTGCGAACTAGCCGAATCCCACCACTGACCAAGTGGGAATCCAATCAGTGATCCAGTCCTCCATTTACAGTAAGCAGATCCTGGTAAGCCCCTGAAGTAGATCCAGCAATTTGGAGGGGGGGGGTCAATAACAGCTTTCTCCATTTAAAACACCTCCCAAAGTTTAAGGAGGCACGCGCCATTCGTATAGCAGCTGAGACCAGAGTTTGCACGCATGAGGGTGGACGTGCGTGATCAACAGGGCATGTCCTCTTTCGTAGTTAACCTATAAAGATGGGGAAGGTTCGCTTTCCATATCACGCCCCTGCCTCACCAACAAAGTCGCAGCCAAGGATAAGCTCCTCTAACCGAGGCAACAATTCTGGAAACTGTGCTGCCCCCACATCCATCCCGCCCTCGCTGCTTTCTCTCCGCGGGGCACGCCAACTCCTGCCCGCTTCTCCTGGGAGGCTAAAGGGGGCGGGACCTGCCTCACTTGCTAGCCCGCCCTCCTCCCTCGCTCGGCATTTTGAAGACTTTCCCTGAGCATCTGCCTTCCTCGATCGCTAGAAATGATTGTCTGAATCCGGTCTTTGGTGCTTATCGTTATTTCTCTAGCAAAGCAACCTTTGGGGTAGGATTAAGGTGCTTAGGCTCCGTCGATGATTATAAGGGGCCGAGGAACCACTCTTTTTACAGTTAAACGATTATTACCTAAAGTGCAGATCGGCTATTCAGAAATTAACACGGTTATAGAAATAGGGGTTGTTTTTTATTCTGAGTTCGATAGCGTCTATGCAATAAGACTAAGCCAGGGGTAGGCAACCTCGGCTCTTTTATGACTCATGGACTTCAACTCCCAGGAATTCTGGGAGTTGAAGTCCATGAGTCATAAAAGAGCCGAGGTTGCCTACCCCTGGGCTAAGCTTACTAATGATTAAATTTATATGCCACATGACTCCCAGCGACTCTGGACCGTTAATATATACCTGCAGGTCCCCCCCCCCTTTTCTACTCTTAGGGCTGTTTTAAGTATTGTACTGAAAGAAAACAAAATACATACGATTTTACCTCATTCTCAATAATAAATAAAAATAAATAAAAACTGCACTTCCTGGGCTTAATGCAGTATCTTGCTGAATATATTGTGTCCACACAATCATTGAGAATGAGGTAAAATCATATGTATTTTGTTTTCTTTAATCGACTTCTCTAGTTGCAGGAATGATCAAGGCCTCTCAAATGGTATCTTCTAGTAGACCAGAAAGCCATGGTAACAATGCTGACCGACCTAGGCAAATAGCTATGAGGGTTTTGTTTTTTTTCCTAAAGAGCAAGAGAAAAGTAGTTTGGTGTTGTGGGATAATACAAATAAAACCTCTTTTCTTTATGCCAAGTATCTCTTATCCTTTATGAGGTTTGCTAGAAAAGAGACAAATGAAGATATTGCAGAGCAAGCACATTTATAGTCCTAATCAATTTTCTATTTAGAAGAGATGAAACCCATTCAGAAGCTTCCAGTACCAGACTCTGCTAAAATTTAATTAATCCCATGTGGCTGAAGGTCCAGAATGAATTTTGGAACACAAGCTTCCAATGTTTTCCCTAAGTAGATCATAATATATTAATCACTTTTGTGGACCAACAAAAGTTTTAAACACTGTCAAATCTGATATATACGTATTTGCAACAAAACAACTGTTTATATCATTAAAAGAAATAATCGCAGTTGAGTGATTTATTTTAAAAAGCAAAAGGAAATAATAGAGCCTATTGTTACTGCAGGTGAATGCACACCAGACCTATCATTTATTGTTGAAGAGAAATAACAATATTGGCTGTTTTTTTTTTTTTAAAAAAAAAAGACAATATAGATACATTGGCTATGGAACCACTATAGCAGGTTATTGTTTTATGTTGTTATAATAAATATTTTATGAGAACAATTAACAAGAAAGCGAACAAAAAACTGTCACCAGCAGTTGTACATCTGTTGGATTTTTATTTAATATAAAAAGATTACACAGTATTATGTATTAAGAGCGTTGTGTGATTTATTGTTCTCCAAGGATGGAATTGCAGGATTCTGAGGCTGTACTTCTTTGGGCAGCTTGTCACCATATTTATTATAAATTCTTTCAAGTTCTGTCAGTTCAACACCACCTTCAGTCATAGCCTGTTTGAAACGTTTCAGCTATTTTCATTTAAAAAGAAAGACATAAATGTTAATTTCCTCAGTTCTATTAGTACTTTCAGCATTCACAGTATATTACAGTTCCCTTAAATTCCCTTCTCCCAAATAATGCAATTCTCATGTTAAGAGTACATGCCAACTATGACAGAAAACATTCACTGATATTTACATTTTTATGTAAATGCTTTGGCCATACACCATACTATAAATGAGTGGTACAATATTGTTTGTCAAGAACATAAAATGTAAGATAGGTAGCAACCAAAGTAAGAAAAACAAAATCAACTTGCCCCTTCGCCATGTTTTTCCCATGGAATTGTAGCCTTGTCATCTACAAAGTTGATTCCAGCTTCGAGACAACGTTGTGCTAATACACGTCCCACATTCTCACATGCTGCCACACCGGTTGTTTTATAAAGATGCTTCTTAATAGCCCACTCGCGAGTGGAAGCAGAGACTACAATATGACCGCTGCAATGTTCAATGTAGCCTTCCACATGTTTTTGGGTTTTTTCAAATCGTAACCTGGATTGTTTGATATGAAAAACAAAATGTTTTCTATGAGAAATTCACCCGCAATAACAAAATTCCTATGGTTCTGTACTTGTAAATCTTATGTCTCATACTTGAAATTCTACACATCTCAGATTATTTGTGTAATTTCATTCTCACTTTTCAAACATGGATTATAAATGGGAAAAAGTCTGTATTAGGATGTGTACTATGTTACCTTGAATGAAAGGTTCATCTCTGAGAAAATGCAATTTGCACAGTCCCCATAGTTGAGTTTTCTCAAGGATGACCTCCTTCATGTGAAACAGCCTATTTCTGGATACCTGGACCACAACCCTCCTATTGGGCTTTCATAGAATCAAACATATATGGCTTTCCAACATAACATTTGAGGGATTTGAATACTAATCTATCCCTTGCAGGTTGCATATCGAATGTTAAATTCTAGAACACGTGCTCGTTTTGTTTTATTGATTTTAATTCCATGTACTGATGGATGTAAACTATTTAAATTTTTTGGCAACTGAATGGCACAAAAACCATTACAAATGGATGCATACATGCATGCATATATGCTGCACCAATGAAAATAATCATTCCTCTAGAATAAATGGGAAGTGCCACTAACTAAAGGATTTCCTACAGAAACTTCTGTGATGGTAGATACTCAAGTGAACTCCAAGTCGTTTTGCTCTTGTAGATTCCCCCCCCCAAAACAAACCTTTTTTAAAAAAAAATTAGTGCAATAACCTTTTCCAACCATAGATATCCTATTAGTGAATCCACAAAGAGGGCATAATCAAAAACAGAATTTAAAAGATTCATGAAAATAACTATAACTTCAAAACACTGGCTGAAATAACAAGTGGACTATTACAGGCCGTATGTAATCTCAACAAATTTACTTTAAACAAACTATGTACTGTCTTGAAGTATGTCTACAAATGCACATTATAGTGAAACAGGAATACAGGTAGTCCTCAACTTACAACAGTTTGTTTAGTGACCATTCAAAGTTACAACGGTACTGAAAAAGTGACTTACAAACATTTTTCATACTTACGACCAGTGCAGCATCCCCATAGTTACGTGATCAAAATTTGGATGCTTGGCAACTGATTCATATTTATGACAGTTGCAGTGTCCCAAGGTCATGCAGTCACCTTTCCGACTTCTGGCAAGCAAAGTCAGTGGGGAAGCCAAATTCACTTAACTATGTTACCAACTTAACAGCTGCAATGATTCACTTAACAAATGTGGCAAGAAAGGTCGTAAAATGAGGCAAAACTCACTTAACAAATTTCTAAATGCAAATTTCTAAATGCAAACCGACAGAATAGCATACAATAGCTCTTCAGAATGTCACTCATGTCTTGGTCATCTCATGGCTTGATTACTGCAATACGCTCTATATGGAGGTGCCCCTGAAGATCATCCAGAAGCTTCACTTAATGAAATGTAGTTATCCAAACAATGATGAGTATATCTCAGTATGCCCACATAATACCTCTGCTTCATGAGCTGCATTGGTGGCCAGTTTGCTTCCAGATACAATTCAAGTGCTATTTGTTACCTATAAAGCCCTACATAGGCCCTGTTTACTTGAGGGTTCATCTGTCTCCCATAGTATCTACCCAGCCGATTCAATCTGGCAGGGTTGGCATGCTCCAAATCCTTCAGTTAAAACAATGCCATCCATTAATACTCTGGAAGTGACCCTTCTTTGTCACAGCACCTGTTCTCTGAGATTACCCGAGAGATTCGAATGGTCCTCATCCTGCTGGTGTTTCCAAGGGACCAAGCTCTTCATCCAAGCCTTTGGTAAAAGGATGATAGAAGCCTCCTTTTTTCCTGGGTTGTTTGCTTTTTTTCCAGCTTGTTTGTTATTCTGCCATCTCTACCCTTTCATTTCTTGTTTTTATTATTGTCCTCTTCATGTTTTAAATTACTTGTAAACCATCCAGAATCACTGGGCATTGGGCACAATATTAAATTTATAACAATAACAACAACAATAATAATAATGGAGGAGGAGGAAAATGAGGAGGATCTATAACTAGTAGTCAAAAAATCTCAAATATCATTATTGGGAATTTAAAAGCAAAAAGCAAAATGGAACTCCTGCAGATTCATATGAACACTAAGATAGAAAAGATTGAGAGGCCGACATCAATATCACTGACAACATAATTGCCTTCTTCAGAATAGAAGAAATATTTGATAAAAAGAATTAATTCTTCACAAGTAATATGAAGTTCTGTATTATTGAACATTGGTTATTTTGCATTTTTCTAATTTACCTGTACCAATAATCCCGTTTTGGCCATGAGGTTTTCCAACCTAGATCCTTTCTTGCTATAGCCAATCTTTCTAAATTATGTGGGTTCCTATTTGTGAACTCAGGAGCAACAATCTCATTTTCTTTTGTATCCACTTCATCAGGAAGAGGTATGGAATTGGGAACAGAAGAATTAAATTTAACTCCTGCAAAAAAATAAAGAAAAACAAACATGCTTAAAGGACCTAGGAAACAATCATGTACACCCAAAAGATGATCAGTATAATATATAAATGAAAATGTACTAGAGTCAGAGACTGATGGTGAAATGGGAATAAGGAAAACAGATAAAAATGCTTAATATTGTTAATTTAAGCAAGCTGAATCTTATTTAACACATTTTATACTCCCATTCATTAAAGAATACCTGGCACATCATTGTTTCTAATTTGTGGTTTAGAAAGGCTGCAAAGATGTCCCTTAAATGTTTAAATGCAAAATGTTTATTTCTAGATTGGCTTATAGTACAGTATAATCCCCACCACCTACAGCAAAACAACTGAATGCTCTCCAAAATACAACTATCATAATTTTATTCAGCATTTTGCCTATAATTCAAATTAAAACCATCCGGAGAGCAAAAGGCTAAGGATGGCCGCTTGTCAAAATATTTTGGTAATCGCAGGAGCTGCATGCTTGCGCAGATTTTGAAAGGGATCTACTTCCGAGAGGGCAGGTTTAGAATCCGCTGTTCGGATTCAACCTCAAAAAAATAACGTTACTGTACCAAAAAAAGACCCATGCAAAAAGAGTTAGAAAAGAGAAAACCTCTCGCTGGCTTAACCGTTCAGTTTCCTTCTCCGCCTTTCTGAATGTCATATTAAAGACCCATGATTCTCCATTAAAAATCTGAATTTTGAAGACTCTCTACCGTGCTCGGCTTCCCGAAATGTCTTGGCCGCCCTGCTCAGCGCCGGAGTCAACCTCCTGAACGCCATCACGTCTGGGAAACTACAGGAAGGGACCTAATCGGACCTACAAGAAGCTGGGGGGCGCCACCTTTTCCTCTGTTGAACTAACCGATATGGGTTTTCCCATGGCCTCTTTCTGTCCTCACAAAAAAAATAATAAAAATAAACCCGAAAGCCTGATTGGTCAACCTCATATTAATCTGCTTCATTTCCTCTAGAATGGCCCTGTAAGCCAATAACCATGCGGATGAACGTGGCTATAGATTTGTTAACTGTAGAGTAGTGTTTTTCAAACTTGGCGACTTTAAGATACGAGGACTTTAATTCTCAGAATTGTCCAGACGGCATGTTTGAAAAACGTTGCTATAGAGCAGGGGTAGGCAATCTTGGCTCTTTTATGAAGTCCACGAGTCATAAAAGAGGCAAGGTTGCCTACCCCTGCTATAGAGGAATGGAAAACTTTCTGATTTTTAAATCGGAACTTTACCATTCCTGTAGCAATGTTTTCCTATCCTATTTCCCCTGTTCTGTGCATCAGACCCTTCGCCTTAGGAATGCGCATAGATTTCCTTAAATATGTTCTTTGTTTTATGCGAAGGATATGTTTAAGGAAATAAAAAAAAGCTCAACATATTCTCACGGACATCGCTGGATTTAAGCATGATGTTCAACAGCAAATTTTACAGGTATATTAGAGGCTTCTAAAAGAAGTAAAATTGAAGTGTAAACAAGAGGCCTTGCACCAAAACGTGGGTGAATTCGTTAGTATCAATCCGTCCTTGATCTGCTTTCAGGTGCTTTGGAGAATAATACAATGTAATAATAACCAGTATCGGTCCTACCGAACGTTGACTTTTTATTGGCCCAGGATCATCCAGTCAGCTTTTTGCCTAAGGCAGAACCTATGGTTTTTACCCTGAGTTCTTAACCACTACCACGAACTGGTTCTCAATAATCATGAAGATGATAGTTCAGAACTTATAAAACATTTGTTTCGAGTTCATCTTCTTTAATTTGCAGTATTAAGAGAGGGATTGTTGAGACATAGCGAGCATACTTTTTTCCAGTATTAGAAAATCATCCAGTGTTATCTTAGTCGGGGAGCAATCCTGAGTCAGAAAAAGCTGGCTCTGTAGTCCTGCATACATCTGTATACGATAGGGAGTGAACAGATTGACCCAGCCTTCCATCCTTACGAGGTCGGTAAAATGAGGACCCATGTTGTTGTAAACCGCTTAGAGAGGGCTGTAAAGCACTGTGAAACGGTATATAAATCTGAGTGTTATTGCTAGTCTATACGATCTTACAACTTCTCCAATAACCGTAATTGCAAACATCCAAATATCAGACTAATAAACGCTTGGGGATCTCTAAGCAGCATCTGCAATTGAGTACGTAATTGTTGGGATGCCGCTTTTCCTTTTTTTTTTTTTTCCCTATGTAGGTGAGTTGAGATGTCGCTTTTCCCTTTTTTTTTTTCTACATAGGTGAATTTGAGATTCAAAGGAAGCACTTAATTCATATCCGGTGCAACCTTGATTTGGAAAAAGACCATGCGACTGCGTATTTTTAACCTTTTATGTATCGAGCTTCTCTGAGTTCAGTGTTTTAAAAAGCCTTTGCGGAACGGAATCTTAAGCCTACTTTGATCAGCTGTTATAAGGAACAAAGACGTCATTGATCATTCTATTTATGGACCATTCTTTTCGTTTGTGCTTTTTTTTACACGACGAAGCCCGCAAGCGAGCCGCAGCCCTTCATACCCTACTTGAAGGAAGCGACCATTGTAATCCTCAATAGAATCTTCTAGAACACATTGACCCACCCGTCTGTTCTCATTGGTCGTTCCGCGAAAAAAGGGTGGGTCATTTGTGGCCCGATCGCCAATCGTCTTCAAAGATCCAACAGACCGAGCAGAGGAGTTCATTTCTTTTTTCCTATGTCACGCTAGTTTTACGACACTCCCGTGCAGCCGATTCGCCTTTAATTCGTCGATAGGTTTAGTCCCGAAGGGCGGAGCTACCCAGAAGGCCTTGCCTCGCCCTCCGCAATCCCTGCAGGCTCGTGCGCGTTGCTGCCTCGGTCTCTGTGTCCGGGAAAATGGCGCTGGAGGGGCCTTTGGCGGTCTTTGGGGAGCGGGACACGGGCGACAGCGTCCGGGCGCAAAACGGTAAACTCAAAAAGCTTTTCCCTCGGGCTTTTAACCCGCCGCAGTCCGAGTCACCGGAGAGTTAACGGTCACTTCGCCGTTTGTGGCGCGTGGAAACTTAGGCGTGGGCATCAATCGGGGACGGCCATGCTGTTTTGAACTCGTGGTTCCCGAGCAGGATGAGCCGGTCTGGGTGCGAAGTTGGGCCCGCGGAAGCAAGCAGCGGTTGCCGACCGGCGGCACGTGTTTTACTAACCCCAAAGGGAAGAAGGGTTGCGGCGCCGCCTTTTAAGTTGCGGACGAGGATGAGGAAAAAGGGACCGCGTTAGGAGCTCTACGGCCCTTGGCTGTCCAGTTCTGGTTGTGCTCCACGTAGACCTGAGATAACTGCCTGAGATTCTGTCTGCACTGCAACTGACACACAGTTATCTCGGATTCTCATGTGGGAGAACTTCAGTCATGCCCCGTATGAATTGGTAGTTTAGTGACCGGGGTTTAGAGCCTGGATCGCTTCCCTTATAAGTACACTGGCAGTTGAGAAGCAACGTTATTAATCCCATCTGGATGCAGTCTCTCTCTGGGGGAAGATAGGTTATCGGTGGTCTATGAGCGTTTCAAAATTGCTAGAGGAAACATAGCGAATATTTTAGAGCCGAAACATTTTGGTCCTTAATTGCTACACCATATTTTTTTCAGAATCAGATATTCCTTTATGTCCTATCAAAATATCTCGTGAAGAATGTTAGTTCTTCTCTTGAAGTTAGAGGTGTTTAAATTAAATGTCTCAATTTCTGGAAGACATTTCAAAGACATATAGTTCTGTAAAGAGAGTTGTCACAGTTTCTACTTAAAATCTATGTCTCTTGCTTTCTGCTCCTGTAAGAAATATATGCAGAGCAGGCTATAGTAGAAAATACTTGCATTGGATTCCGTTTGATTATTAAATCTCATTATTGTATTGCAGTTAAATTTCGAAAGTTTGGGAAGACAGTAACAAACCACTCTTGTATTGTTAAGCAAACCATGTTTCTATGGTTACCAAGAGCCCAGCTGTACTACAAAACTGCTTTACTGATTAGTAACACTTTAGAGAAGAAAACATAAATGCTGTCTCTTTTACTCTGGATCCTATGGTGATATGCATTTATGTGCCTCTTGTTTCAGTGTTAAGAGACAATTTAAAAACAGATGTTCATAATCCAAGTATATATGAGAGATTTTTTTTAAAAAAAAGAAATGCTGTTATATTTCAATCTAGATCAGGGGTGTCAAACTGCCAGCCCGCGGGTGCCCACCCCAGCACCCACAATGGAAAAAAAGTTGTGATAAATTGCAACACATCACATGACATGGCAAGTTTGACACCCGTGTATTAGATTGTCATACATTTCTCTTATTAAAATAGTTCCAGGAGAAATTGCTAGGTGTTATGTCCCATTGTACTGCCTCTTATTTGCACTACAAAATAAGAGATAATCCTTATGGGATAAATAAATGTCTGTCACAGTCTGATGGAGAAGAATGAATATCAGCTTCTTTCTATATGAAATGGCAGAACAAAGCATTACAAAAACAAGTACAGTATTTTTAAGACTGCATCATGTTGTTCCTTTTGTTAGTAACTGATGCAAAGAACCTGAAGTTATTTATGCACGAAAGTCTTCATAATGGCCTAAGTTTTGCTTATAAGCTGAATGGCTGGTTCACAAACTATGGCCTGTGTATAAAACTCCTGCTTAGTATAAGTTATAGCATACAGACTGTTTTCAAATTCAACTACAAAACACATTTGTGTGTGTAAATTTATATTGTTAAACCCTAAACAAAGTAATTGCCAATTTTATTGCCCAAAACTATTTGCTATTTTTAAAATATTTAAAAGCATATATTTAGTACTTGAATTGCATCAGTTAAAATTTTAGGAAATAATTCCGTATATGAAGAAAAAAAATCTGTTTTGTTAAAACAGTTACAGCTGCTGCTTCAATTGCTAATATTGTAAAGAGTTCACTGGGTCCAGTTGGCTTGGATAAAATGCTGGTGGATGACATTGGTGTAAGTAGATCATCTTTTTTGAAACTACCAGTAGAACATAATTTGTCTTAATTTTAAAAGAAGAAAGCTGAGCAATCATTATATTCAAGGTAGCTAACTAATATGGTGGGAGGATGGATAGGTAGGGTTTTTCTCCATCCCAAGATTCTATTTACGTCTCCCTAATCTGGGAAAGAAGAAGAAAAATCCTTTACCCCTGCCTCTGGGTATATGTAGTTTTCACACAGGTGTCAAAAAAGTAGTTTAGAATACTCAGAAATCTTTTGCTCTAGGAATAGCAAAAAAAATCTTCGTAGCAGTTTTTGAACTGCCTCACTAAGTCAACATTTATTTTTAATTTTGTATTTCTAAAATAAAAAGAACCAGAAATAGAAACAACAAAAACAGGATAAATAGAATGAAATAAAAAACCTTTGGCCAACTTTTAGCCAAAGATAGCATGATAGCAGTATTCCAGTATTTGAGGGGCTGCCACAAAGAAAAGGGCATCAAACTATTTTCCAAAGCACCAGAGGGCAAGACAACAAACAATGGTTGGAAACTGACCAAAGAGAGAAGCAACCTGGAATTAAGGAGAAACTTCCTAACAGTAAGGACAATTAACCAGTGGAACAGCTTAGCCTGCCTTCAGAAATCGTGGGCGCTCCATCACTGGAGATTTTTAAGAAGAGACTAGACAGTCACTTGCCTGAGATAGTATAGATTCTCCTGCTCAAGCAGGGGGCTGGACTAGAAGACCTCCAAGTTCTCTTCCAGCTTCACTTCTATTCTATTCTATTCCTTTGCTAAAGGGAAAGAGGGATGCTTCTTTGACTTCAGTTTGATAGTTTCACACTGATGTTTCCATATCAGGAAAATATTTTCTGTCACTTTGGGTTAGTTACAGTCAGCCCAACCCACTTCATTGGTT